GATTGCAATAAAGTTTCAATAAGATATATAAAACCTTTAACAGTGCCTAACCACAAACACCTGGGCTCAAAGACAGTCTGCCCTCACTCCTTCATTTTGAGTGCAAATAGGCTTGGGAGTTCAAACATCTGCTTATGTATGCATGTATGTATAGCGAGAGAAAGAGAGGAAGGATTCACCTGGAAAGTACCCAAGGCCATCCCAGTTACGAAAATATTAAACGTCCATAATGGACCTCTGGCCACCCCCATCTCCCTAGGACCTCACCATGATCTGGCAATTAGAGGGTTAATGCCTGACAGTACTAAAGCCAATGGCTCCTGGGTTGTTAAATATTTTGAAAACCACCTCTGCTTAAGGGGAATTAGAAACTGGCAGATACAGGTTTTTGAAAAGTTGAGATCTGACTAGACCCTGAGAAGAATCCCATTTTGGCCAAGAGCTGACTCTGCAATTTTACAGAGGGAGGTAAATGACAATGACAATGACAACCATGATGATTTAAACCAGACTTTTTATTTTCGTTTTTTGCCGTGACTGGTGTGGCTCTGTTGGCTGAGCATCATCCTGCAAAGCAAAAAGTCCCGGGTTCAATTCCCAGACAGGACACATGCTGGGTTTTGGGTCAGGTCCTGGTCAGAGCGCATACCAGAGTCAAGCAATTGATGTTTCTCTCCCTCACTTTCTCCCTTCCCCTCTCTCTCTAAAAAAAAATTAAAATAAAATCTTTTTAAAAAATAAATAAACCAGACCATTTTTGTCTAAGAACAGGACACATTGATTACTTTTGTTTTTACATTTCATAGAGGCATCTAAAACTTCTAGCCTCTTCATCTGACTCTGATTTGCAAATAGAGATGTTGAAAGCTATGGGTTCCAGATGGAAGAGCTATGGTTTCCCCAATTGTGAATTTACTGTAAAAGGGAAGCGGGTAACTAGGAAGGACAACAGTGGGTTGCCACCATAAGGGGAGGCATTGAAACTATGCTGAAGTATTCTTGGGAGCCCTTGGTATAGCTGAGGCCAGTTGCTTCTCTCTGTCAGGGAGACCATCCCTAGTGTGAGTCAGCAGAGATGAGGGCCCAGAGTCCACATGTCCGTAAGTGGAAGGACAGGTGGGCATTTGGCACTTTCCTGTCCAAGCTGAAGTAAACTGAATTTGATTACAAGGCAAGTTCAGCTTTCAAATATCCCTTTACGTAGTACAAATGTTTACCTCTTTTGTGTTTGTTTGCTCAAGTATCTAATTTTTACTTTAAGTCAAATCAAAAAATTGTTAAGCATTGTACATTTTTTCAGTTTATATTTTATAAATTCTATACGAAAAGTTCTAAACATTTTCCAGATTTAACTGACATTTAACACTGTACAATTTTTTCCAGTGATGCCAACTTTTAAGATCTACTCTGTGAGCAACTTTCAAATATACAATACAGTATTATTAACTGTAGTAACCATGCTGTACATTACATCCCGAGGACTTATAACTGGAATTTTGTATCTTTTGACCACCTTCACCCATTTTCCCCATCCCCTACCCCAATCCCTCACTCTGGCAACCACAAGTCTGTTTTGTTTCTAGGAGTTTGCTTTTTAGATTTCACATATAACCGAGATCATAATGGTATTTGTCTTTCTCTAACGTATTTCACTTAGCATAATGACCTCAAGGTCCATACCTTGGCTGCAAACCATTTAATTTCTGAACAAAGCTCACCTATTTAATAAGTTAGTAATACTCCATGAACAAGTGACCATAATATGCTACATTGTTTCTCTGTTGGGCAAAAAGAGTGAGAATCAGCTATGGACATAGAGCTTTTTCTATATTCAAGATATTTGGTATAGAAGGTAATTTTCAGAAATGTAATCACTAGGTTAGAGTATAAACATTTTTATGGTACTTGATCCATTTTGGAGGATGCTTTCATTTGTATAACCCTCCCAGGAACGTCTTCCCTCATCTGGAAACACCACTTCCACTTGCTTGCCCCTCTGACCACGTGGTTCCTCAGAAAGCTGCCATGTTTTTATAGCTCCCATCTCTACAGCCCCAACCGCATGTGGGCACCAGACACAAAACAGACTGTTGAAAGTTCTTCCCTGGGATTTCCGAATCTGGCTTCAAGAGAGCTTGAACCAATCCAGGTGGCACAATGTCAAGACAATGAAACTTGGAAGCAGTCAGAAGCCTATTCTTTGTTCTGTGGAGGAAGGTAGGCAGTGATGAGAGAGTGAAGTTAAAGCAACAAGTAGAGACTAGGAGAAAAATATATGGCATTTGTATGCCTGGTCCCAACTGCTCCTGCATTCCTGCCCTAAGATTTGGAAGTTCAATTTTCTTTCAGTAATGCCCTCTTTTTGTACTTTTGTTGAGTTTCTAGCACTTGTAATAAATTCATATAGATAGCCTCCAGGCTTTCCAATCTGACTGCATTTCCCCTGTCCATTCAACCTCCCACTCTCCAAAATGACTATTTCATACCTCTCTTCTCTCAAATTGCACTTCCCAGTAGCAACCTGTTCATTGCGTTAGCACTGTTAAGATTATGAACTGTTACATACTAAAGCTTGGAGACACAGATATTCCATAAAATGAGCACGTGCTCTGTGGATAAAGGATAGTTGGGCCCACTAGACACAAAGGACATCTGTAGTTAAATGAACCTTGTGACATTTGTCTTTGCAGAACCAAATCTAATTAGCCTACATGTATGTCCTTTGTGTCCACATTCTCTACCTTCTTTCTTACTAAAATAAACTGTTTCTGCTCCTATCCTGCCTCTCCATTTAGCTATTGGACTCCATTTCTTCTCTCCTTTGTGGGCTTTGTTCCTGAAGTTCCCTCCACCCTATATACTAAATGTCTCAGCTTCCTGGGTCATTCCCATCAACAGATGAACATCCACAGGTATTTTCCATATCAGAAAGAGACTGTCCTGACCAGCTCCTTTTCCATAGCTGTTCTCTTTCATACAGTTTCCTGCCATCCTTCTCTATACAGCTACATGCTAATTTTCAGGTCCACTATCCCAGTTTTCCCCAAGCTCTTTCCCACCTTAGGGACATAACATTTCATATTCTCTGACACATAGGTTCAGCTCCAGACTTCGTGAGGCTGTTGCTCATTCAGGCCACCTCAGAGAAGCCAGCCTAAAGTAGTCCTGTCACTCAGTTGCTACCCATTTTCTTCATGCATTCATCACTGTTGGAAAGTATCTCGTTTGTTTCATTATTTCCCTTTATTAGACTGTAAGCTTTCTGAAAGCATCTTGTTGGCCTCGCTCATCTCTGTAGCCTTGGAACCTGGAATAGTGTCTGAGAGACCTATTAGGTATTCGATATTTATTTATCCAACTAATAAAATCCATGTAATATCTAGCTGAGATGCGGGTGGAGAGCCTAAGCAGTTAAGTCTGCAGTGAGTTTAATGGAGTTGGACAGAGAAAAGGCTAAGCAGATTCTTTTTTAAATTTTATTTTATTTAAAACATCAATACACAAGAGAAACATCTATTGGCTGCCTCCCACATGACCCTGACTCGGGACACCGCCCGCAACCCAGGCATGTGCCCTGACTGAAAATTGAACCAGCGACCTTTGGGTTTGCAGGCTGTTCACAGGTCAGAGCTCAATCCACTGAGCCATACTGATCAGAGCTATATTTCTTTTTAAGAAATTTTTTATTTAATTTATTTGTGTGACATTGGCTAAGGAAATTATATAGGTTTCAGACAGCAAATTGTGTCTGGTACAGTTTATTTCCCCATCTATGGAATTCTACAACATGTCATCTGTATATTGTATTGTGTTTACCACCTATGTCAATTATATTTCAATAAAGCTGTTAAAAAACAACTCTGGATACATTAGGCATAGCTGAAGAATCAGTGATTGAATGGATTTTAGGAAATCACTCAAAATATATCATCAAGAGATAAAGAAATGAAAAATATGAAAGAGGCTGAGAAAGAGAGAGAATAAGAAAGTAAAAATATCTAATAAAAGCCAAGAAGGCAGGAAGAGGGAAAACGGAAAAGAAAATGCAGGAAAATGACAATGACTAAGAACTGTCCCAAATGATAAAAAACATGAATCCACATGCAAAAGCAGCACAGTAATTCCCAGAGAATGAATGAAAAATCCATCCCTAGCCACCTTGTAGTAAAATTGTAAAACACACAAAAAAAGAAAATAATAACACCATTAAGACTGTCAGACTTTTTTATCATTAATAACAGAGATCATAGGACAATGGAATAATAGTATCTTTAAAGTACTCTGCGTGAAAGACATATTTGACCAAAGAAAGGCTGAGAATGTTTACTCTCACAATCTAACTCAAAGAACTACCAAAGGAGGATCTCTGTGAGAAAGAAAACTAAACCCAGGAGGAAGGAGGGATGTAGGAAGCACCATTGAGCAAGTAAGTTGGTAAAAATGTGGGTAAATCTATGCATTGACTGTAAAGCAACTAATATGTGTGTGTTGGAAGTAATTTAAAATAGGATCAAACTCAAGTCCTGGACAAGAATAGCATGAAGAGGGTGGGAGGGTTGGAGGTTGACAGATGATTAGAATTAAAGCATGCTATGGTTATTGTATTACTTAGGAGGGTAAAGACTTTATTAAGACAATTGAGTGTTAAATTTTAAGGGTAAGTGCTAAAAATATGTAGAAGATATAAATTCTAAGACTGTACAAGGAAGACCAAGGAAGGATATAACTCACTCACTCAACTCCACTGGAAGAGTAGGAAAAATGAAATGGTTGATACAGAAAAGCATGGTAAACAGAAAGTACATTTTAAAAATTTGTCCCACTGTAGACTGCGAGAGCTTGCATCCTGTCTTCTTTCTGTATCTTCATGTGTATAGAGCAGCACTTCATGCAAAGAAATTGCTCATTAAATTTAGTATTTTTTAAGAAAAATGTCACCTCATTTTAAATCTTTGAAAACTAATTAGGTTCAATATTTACCTATTAATTTGGTAACTGGATGTAATTGATGTCCATATCCTTTGACTTTTTTAAAGTTGGGGTCAATATTTAAATATTTATTTTAGAAGTTTTTTCATATTTTTCACCCTTTCTTTGCCTGTATTCTCTGCTATAAATTTTATCAGTCTGTTGATTGCCTCTTTAGTGATTTTACAGTTTTTAACATATAGTCCTGTCTTTCCATCTTTTTTATTTCTCCCATCACTGTGTAGAAAGTGCTGTTTTTCAAATATTTCACAATTTCGATTACCTTTGAACATGAAGAACTGTTAAGTTCTCTGTTAACAAGGAGAATGTATTTAGGACATGCATGGCGACAGGCTGGTGTTAATATGGCTCAAGAAATAGAGGTTAGTCTGAATTTAAAAGTATGTCAGTCCCTGAACCTGAAAGTATCTCATGCCCGGCCCACTTTTATAAGAATTACAAAATACAAATATTGGAAGCCTTAAAAGGTGATAAATTTTTTTAATATATTGATTTTAGAGAGGAAGGAGGGGGAAGGGAGAGAGAAACATTAATTTGTTATTTCACTTATGCATATATTCATGGGTTGGTATTTGTATCTGCCCTGAGCAAGGCTGGAACCCGCAATCTTTGTGGAGTTTTTGTCTTTCAAATTCAACATACAAGTTATCAGCCTACTGAAAGGCAAAATTAATTAGGAAAGAGGTTCCCATCAAAAGATGAGGTATTCATTTTGTCTATGAGCATTAGTAGAGAAGATTTGGAAAAAACAAAAACTTGTATCAGAAAAACTGAATTCAGAGATGTATAGAAAGTGATATTCAACTTTAGACTTCAGAAATTTGGGGACCAAATTTTGATTAATAGTCACTTGTTATTTTTCTGCTCTTGTGAATAGTGTTAATCTTGGTGAAACCCTCTTTGATTTCAATGGCCTCCAGGACATTTGCCTTGGAAGCTAAGAGCTGTACTATAGCCACTAAGTACATGCAACTACTTAAAATTTTAATTTAAAAAAAATCTTCAATTCGGTTCCTGTTATGTTAGGCTCAAGTGCTCAACAGTTACATGTGGCTATCAGCTACCATATTAAGCAGCACAGATACAGAACATTTGTCTCTCACAGAAAGTTTTGTTGGGCAGCTTTACCTTGTCTCTCAAAATTCCCAGGTAACTTCCAAGCTGCTTTTCCACTACCTCAACTCTATCTCATTTTATTATTTCAGGTACATTCTTGATCTCCTTGCAGCTCCACATTGATCCTTCCGAAAATGGGATTGTTTTTACTCAATTTACTAGTAAATAACATGCAAAGGGAAATGAGGCACTGTTGGGAACTATCCTGCCTGGTTTCAGGAACTGTAGCGTTGCTGACAGCCAAGAGGGCCCCAAGGCTGGAGCTAAGCAAGGAGGCCTTAGGGAAATAGGCCACTGAAGAGTCAAAACCTGCCCCCCCACCCCAGCAAGGGCACAGCCCGTGTCTCTCTCACATCACCCTGCTTGGCCCCGGAGGATGGCTGGTTAGTCAATGACAGGTAAGACCTCTCAATGGCAGGGGCAGCCTAAGACAGGCACAGTCGCATGGGGGCCATCAGGGAAGGACTTGAGGGACATGGAAAAGGGGCAAAAAACCCTCACCCCTCAGCCTTGTCATGGCCGGAGTCTTCATTCTATCTGAAAGAAGCCTCCTTATCTCTTGGCTGCTCTGCTCGGCTGCCTGACTTGTCAGTAAAACAGTATAAAGGCAGGTACAGCCCTGAACTGGATCAGGTGGTTCCCAGGGACAATTAGGCCTGGAAAAGGAATGCATTAAATCCTATGAAACTTACTTTGCTAAGAATGCCCTGGAGTTAATGAGTACTGATATTGGGGACCACTTTGTGAGGCACTGGCAACTGTGGCCTGCAAAAGAATACATTGTATCCCCTGAAGCTTGCTCTGCTTTGCACTGCCCTGATAAGGAAACACCAGATGCTTTACTTCACAGCAAGGAGGTAATTTCTGAGCCCCCCAAACTATGCCTTAATGAGTGAGGATCAGGTACCAACTTGTCTGACAGACCTTGATTTAAGACAAACCTCTGTATTTTTTCAATTTATCACCTATAGCCTTTTGATGTAGATTGATAGGCTTTGTATGCATGCTGTATACCCCTACACATATTGTCCTCAATAAAAAACACTTCTAGGGAAGGGCTCAGGGCATTCTCCACTACAGGGAACTGCCAACCCCTTCTCCTGACAGGCAAATTGTGTCTGGTACAGTTTATTTCCCCATCTATGGTGACCTAGAGCGGCTCTGCAGGACAGAGTGTCTCCCCCAAGGCACCGCATAACTCAAGTCTGAATGCTACCTCATGTTTGGTGACATTCAGCAGACCTGCCTCAACATTCACTAATCTGGCCATTTAGTCCCAAACTGCCATCCCACTAATGATGGACTGAGTGCCACATGCAGACACATTGGTGATCAAGGTCTATTTTCTAGGCCTTATTTTCATCATAGGGTTGCACAGAGGTATCTTGTCCAGTCAGAGCTCCTTACAGCACCTTGAGGGCACTGACCACATGTACTTCTTCAGTATTTTTCGCAAGTGTCATTTTAGATCCTTAGTGATAACTGCTTTTATATAATACTAAATTATACCAACATGGGAACTGAAGCTTTGGCCCAAAACTCTCCCCCAGGGTATTTGAGTATGAACTAAATATTAAATATCTGAAAATGCTTGTCAATGTAGATCCAATACTGCTTATAAAAGGAAGTCAATTTCGAAAGACACATTTAACTATTTCAGTGAAGTGTCATGCTGCTATCAAATGCTTTGTAGCAAAAATATATTAGATAAAACAAATATTGTTAAGTGTAGTGATGAATATAGATGGTCAATGTGCTAGTCTTTCAGCTTTTCTGTATGTTTAAAATTTTTCATAAGTGAAAAAATACATCTCATTTATCTATTCAGTTTGTGAGCATTCAGATTTTTTATTATTATGAATACTACTACCTTGATTAGTCACATACAAATCTTTATGTGAGCTTCAATGGTTTTAAAAATAAGCTTATATCATTAATAATGTCTAAAAAAATGACTTGTGCTCCAGTAATGCTGTTTTTCGAGCCTCAAGTTTAATCAATTTCAATAAAGCCAGAATGACGAGAATTTTCAGGAATTTCTTCTGGTGGCTTTCTGGTGAAGTGAGGGTTAGACAGCATGGTATCTTTTTGTTGTTTCAATGTGCCCCTTAATTCTGCTTTTGCAAACATAGTACAGTACACCTAACAATGTTTTACACATGATTAAAGATTTTTGCAAGGTCTCCTGATGATGAAATGGAGAGGTGCTGCCAGGACTACAGAGAAAAATGTCCAGCAGAATGTGTTCATGAGGTTTTGAATCTAGAGCACGCAATTTCCTAGTATGGGTTATTTTTAAAAATCTGCTTCTAATTATCTTACTACCATTAATCAGTGGCTAACTATTTTCCTGGCAATTTCTGTACTTTCCTTTTATACAGCTCACAGACCCCTGGCACACCAAGGGCACAGCTGAAATTGGTGGTACTATACTGCTCTTGCCAGATAGCACCTGGGCTGTAATCTGCATTGTCTGCCTTCTATGTCTGTTCTTTCTAGCCTACTGCTTCATACCAACCTGCACATGTAACTGCCTCTGTTAAAAGATAATTCTGGAGACTTAAGGAATAAGCAATTTTGTTTGTTTTCATAGAGTGATACCATCACCAGTTGATATGCTACCAAAGTCTTGCACTAATTTCTATGAAGCAAGCTGATTTTTCACCTATGTATACATGCTCATCTACTGAGCATAATACTTAACATTAGAACATATTATATGTCAGATACCAACAGGCTGTTTTTAGTATTTTTTCAAAATTATGAAGTAGATACTTAATAGTATAATAGTATGTGGATAATGGTATTATAACGATAATATTATTATCCACATACTGAGAACACTGATGGGTCTCAAAGAAGTTGCCCAAGGATGAAAACATTACTTACTTCAATTTTTTTTAAAACTGAGGAATAATTGTCATTCCCTTAAATATTAATAATACTGGTGACAAAACCATGTCATTTCAGAAACTGAAAGAATTTATAAAAATAGGAATATTTTATTTTTGCTTTAGCAACTAACACAAAACTATCTTGACCTTTAGAGCCAACATTTTTCCTCAACCTTTTCCTTGGATCAGGAATTCATTTGGAACAAGTACTAAAAAAAGAAAGAAAAAATCCACGTTGTGGGAAAACCCCCCCAGTATATTTTCCATAATAAAAATAAAAGTTAGAATGTTCAGCTATTAACATGTTTTCTCCAACTTATACCAGATTGAGTTACTTCACTTTACTGACTCAGGAGGAGGCAGGCTCCCTCCTTCCAAATTACCCCCGTCTGGTAACATCCGTTGCCAAGCAGCAAGCCAGAGGTTTGGATGGGGCACTACAAAAAAAGGCACTTCAAAGTGTTCAGACCTTCACGTCTGGCCTATGAAGGAAAAACTTAATTTGGGAGTGATAAAGTAAGTCCTGTGGGCTCTCTTACTCCAAAACTACATTCTGCAACAGTGCAAGAAAAAAGGCAAAGTACCCATCTACCTCAAGGCTATTGGATCCGCAATACCTAGCAGTTATCCAGTTGTGACTGTTTTCCATAGGGAGCTTCTTCCGGTCTCCTGTGTCAAGCACAAAGATGCTAAGGCTCTTGCGTGGTCAGTAACACTACTACCATCCTATCTTCGAGAATTTCAGACAATGTACAGGTCTGGTTTAATTCTTCCTTTTGCGTTTAGATAAGATTGTTGTTCCCCATACCAGTTTTATATGTTCTAGTGTAGTTTCATAAAATATAAACACATTGAAAGCAAAGCATAAAATATTAGAAATAAAAAATAACGCAGGGGCCAAAAACCACAGTTTATATGCACATCACCCCACCTCTCCCTTTCCAGAGGAACGCTCAGGAAGCCATAAGCAGCCACTGCAAGGCCTCTTCAAGATTACACGGACATTATGATTTAACAGTCAAGTCTGAAATAGCAACCCAGACCAAAACCAAGCTGGGTGGTTGTATCCAAAAGCCCAAATGTCTTCTGTAATAGATTTTCTGCACATGTTAGTCCCAGATACTGGGGGACAGTGGTGCCATGCTGGGGATGTGGTTCCCTAAGTAGTAATGTTTGGAGATTAATATTGAAAGCTGCGCTTGGTCTGAATATCATCAAGAATCTGCTGTAGTTCCTCATCTTCAAAACGCCCCTCCAGGCTACAAGAAAACCAAAAGAAGAGAGTCTCTTAGCACTTGACAATGTTCCCCACACTTGTTTAATGCATGCCAATATTTGAGCACTAGTTGCCCACCTCTCCATTTACCCCTGAACACTGATACTTTTACCTTTCAACTATATTTTTTGCCTTTCCTTTTAAAAACATTGTGAAGAATTTAAAACATATAAAAGGTACAGAAAATAAGTTAACCTTAACAGTTACCCCTATTTGATTTAGATTTCTTTAATAAACATAACAGGAACAAACCAATGACTATGCATACTTCTCCATCCCAACACCTTCAACTCCCTTCCCCAGAAGTAACATTACCCTAAATTTGGTACTTCATTCCTATACATATTTTTGTACTTACTATATATGTGATAAATATATCTATAAGCAATATGCAGCACTGTTTTTATTTTTTTAAAGATTTTACTTACTTAAATGGAAAGGGAGGGAGAGAGGGAGAGAAAAACTGATGTGTGAGACACACATTGACCAGTTGCCTTTCACATGCCCCCAGCTGGGGACCTGGCCCACTACCCAGGCACGTGCCCTGACTGGGAACTGGACCAGCAACACTTTGGTTTGCAGGCTGGTGCTCAATCTGCTGAGCCACACCAGCAAGGGCTGTTTTTAAACTTTTTAAGAAATGGCATCATACTGTATCTTTCTGCAGTTTTTTTTTGCTGAAAACTCACTCTGGCCTTTGTTGACATTATTCCATGCTGTTTCAGTTCATTAATTTCTTCATTGCTATATAATAAATACTGTATGAGCATAAATGATTTATGTGTCCAGTCTCTTTTTGACCGAAAGATTGTTGTCATGTTTTTGCTATCATTAACAATGCAGCAATGGACACTGGAGTATATGTCTCCTTTTCAAGTACATGAGTGGGCCCTGGTTGGTGTGGCTTAGTGGATTGAGCACCAGCCTGTGAACTGAAAGGTCACTACATCAATTCCCAGTCAGGGCATTTGCCTGCGTTACAGGCCAGGTCCCCAGTGGGGGCATGTGAGAGGTAGCCAACTGATGTTTCTCCTGAGCATTGGTGTTTCTCTCCCTCTCTTTGAAAATATAAATAAAATTTTTAAGACAAGACTGGCTCTTAGAGCATGTATCCAGGAGGAGATTTTTGGGTCATTGGGTACATTTATCTTTTACTTTATTAGATGTAGCCAAATTGCTCTCCAAAATGTACTAATTTCCACCCCTACCATCCGTGTAGGAGAGTTTCAGCTGTTCCACATTTTTGGTAACAGGTGGTATGCTACAAAATCATTCTCATGTTGGTAAAAAAGTCCCTCTCATTCAATGTTTTATCTATCCAGATTTTAAATGCACACACCTTTTTAGACACAGTAATTTTATTAGTATGAATATATGCAATACACATAGAACTTATAACCCATACTAACCTTGGGATCAGGGCCTTGGACTCCTCAGCAGTCTCTGGACAAAGGTTGGCCAAACAGGCCAACTCAAACTTATGAAGCTTCTTCTGAAGCAACAAGCTGATCATTAGGAAGACAAGCAAAACAAAACAAAACAAAAAAATGAAAGAAACATGAATAGGAAAAGTGAGATCAAATGCAAATGCGTCCTCAGACTCACTACCTGCGAGCTTCAACACCAGGGAAACAGCTTGAAAGGCACCAGAGACACAGGGAGGAACTGAAATATCTGGCATAAAGGTGAGAACAGGGGGACAGCTTTCTCCCAGACAAAAGTGCTGGTAGAGGCTACTGTTTCTTTGATGAACCCTCCCCCGACAGAGCTTGCAGGCAGGTGCTTTATATGAGATTCTCTCCTTTAAATTTATTTTAAAAATAAATAAGTAAAGGCATAATTTACTTTGTACAAATAAATGTGTAAACTGTACCTTATTTTAAATGCCAAACTGTATAAAAGAACAATGTCAATGCAAATCAGTCCTGGCTGGTGTGGCTCAGTGGATTAAGTGCAGGTCTGTGAACCGAAAGGTTGCCCATTCAATTCCCAGTCAGGGCACATGCCTGGATTACAGGCCAGGTCCCCAGTTAGGGGCATGCGATCGATGTTTCTTTCCCTCTCCCTCTTCTCCCTCACTTCCTCTCTCTCTAAAAATAAATAAATCAAAAATCTTAAAATGCAAATCGTTTCTTGGATTTACATCCCTCTACCTCTTAAAACAGCCCTCATCAATGGTAAATGTGGTTTCAGGGAAAACTTCATCTATTCAGAAACAAAATATGTACCATATTTATCACTCTATTATAAGCATATATGTTAATATACAAAAATATAGAAAATGAAGGCAAAAAAAAAAGAAAGCTACCTATATTACCACCTAAACAAAATCAGCATACCATCTTAGTCTATCATTCTAAACATTTTTCTATGTTGTAGAATATAAACTCACATTCTGTTTTGTAATTCTTTGTCACTTAATCAATTTTGTAAAGAAAATAAGGTAATCTTAGTTACATGGGAAGAGGTTCAGAATGTTGTAAATTGAGCACACGCTCATTTACAAACAATACTAAAACGTATCAATAAGGTGAAAAGAACCTGAAATCCCACAGAAATAACCTGTATTAATATTTTTTACGGAGATCCCCTACCATTCCTTTATTTACATATTTTTAAAACAAATGGAATCATAACAAATGTTATTCTAAAACTGGCCATTTTTCACTCAGCAACAGAGTAACTGTTTTCCACTTTAGTACAAAAATAACTACCTTGAACACCACATTCTACTGAAGTTGTGCCATAATTTATACATCAAAAATTTCCTGTTGTTGAAAATTTCAGTTGTTTCCAATGTTTTTTGAACATCACTCCTAACACATACTTCTTAGTCCATTTGAGTACTATGTGTTTTAAAAATAAATTCCTGGAAGTAGAATTATTCAAAGGATATATATGATTGTCTGGAAAGCTTCTGACAGTGTCCTAAAAGAGCTTTACCAGTATACACTTCTATCGTCAGTAAATGACAGTGCCCGTTTCCCCTTGTTACATTAAGTTTCTCATTTTTTTAAATCTTTTAAAATCTACTTAGCTGTTTTACAATTTCTTTGATTTTCTTGAAGATGACCATTATTTCATGTGAATCAGACAGAAATCTGAAGTTCTGATATAAATCATGCCATTAGAGACTAAGTCCGCTCTTACAAAGTGGGTATCACGTAAGGATATCAGCCCTTTCCCATTTTGTTCATCTCATATTTTACGTATTACCCATTACACATTTCCTTTTATTTGTAAAAGGAAAATTTAAAGATATTTATGCAAATTCATTTACTTATTCAACTAATTATTTAGTACCTACAATGAGACTGACACAATGATGAACATGACCAAGTCCATGCCTTCACAAAAGCTTACATTCAACTGGGGAGCCAATTGTTTCCCCAGTTTTGAAGACTTGCTAACCAGCCCTGACCGGTGTGGCTCAATTTGTTGGAGTGTCATGCCACAAAGAGGGAGGTTGTCAGTTCAATTCCTGGACAGAGTACATACCTGGGTTGCAATTCAGTCCCCAGATGGGGCATGGTTGAGAGGCAACCAACTGATGTTCCTCACATCAATGTTTTTCTCCGTTTCTCCCACCCTTTCCCTCTCTCTATAAACAAAGTAATATATTTTAAAAAGAAAAAGGAGTCTTGCTAATTACAGCCAATATAACATATACATCCACCCATATTATCACATAGCAGTTTTATGCATAATTTACTTTTAAATCCTTAATTTCTTAGGATTTTGGTGAAATATAGAATTCAAAGTTTGTGGTAAAAAATTTCCTCACGAATTTACAATACCATCTTTACCATAATTAGACTCATATAAAATATATTTGTATTTGATGTTTCTGAATTTTCTGTATTTGATCTGTGTATTCTCATGCCAAAATGTCACTATTTATATACATATTTTATTATGCTATTACAGTTATCCTATTTTTTCTCCCCTTATATTTTCTCCATTATTATTCCCCTACCCCTGGCACCCCATATCCCACCAGCATTCCCCCAATCACCCTTAGTTCATGTCCATGGGTCATACATATTAAGTTCTTTGGCTTCTCTGTTTCCTATACTATTCTTAACCTCCCCCTGCTTATTTTGTACTTAGTATTTATGCTTCTTATTCCCTGTACCTTTTCTCCCATTCATCCCCTCCCTCTCCCTTCTGATCTCCATTTCTGTGATTCTGTTCCTGTTCTACTTGTTTGCTTTTTTTTTTTTAGGTTCAGTTGTTGATAGTTGTGAGTTTGTTACCATTTTCCTGCTCATAGTTTCTGATCTTCATCTTTTTCTTAGGTAAGTCCCTTTAACATTTCATATAATACATGCTTGGTGATGACCTTCTTTAACTTGACCTTATCTGGGAAACACTGTAGCTGTCCTTCCATTCTAAACGATAGCTTTGCTGGAAGTCATCTTGGATGTAGGTCCTTGCTTTTCATGACTTTGAATATTTCCTTCCAGCAACTTCCTGACTGCAAGGCTTCTTTTGAGAAATCAGCTGATAGTCCATGGGAACTACTTCGTAGGTAACTGTCTCCTTTTGCTGCTTTTAAGATTCTCTCCTTATCTTTAATCATGGGTAATGTAATTATGATGTGCCTTGGTGTGTGCTTCCTTGGGTCCAACTTCTTTGGGACTCTCTGAGATTCCTGGATCTCCTCAATGTCTATTTCCTTCACCAGATTGAAGAAGTTCTCCTTCATTATCTTTCAAATAACTTTTCAGTTCCTTGCTCTTCCTCTTCTCCTTCTGGCACCCCAGTGACTCGGATGTTGGAACATTTAAAGTTGTTCCAGAAGTTCCTAAGCCTCTTCTCGTTTTTTTTTTGAATTCTTGTTTCTTCATTCTGTTGATTGAAATGTTTGTCTCTTCCTTCTGCTCCAAATCGTTGATATGAGTCCCGGTTTCCTTTGCTTTACTGTGAGTTCCCTGTACATTTTTCTCTATTTCACTTTCCATAGCCTTCATTTTTTCTTCCATTTTGTGACCATACTCTACCACTTCTGTAAGCATCCTGATTACCAATGTTTTGAACTGTGCACCTGCTAGGTTGGCTATTTCTTCATTGCTTAGTTTCATTTTTGGAGCTTTGATCTGTTCTTTCATTTGGGCCATATCTCTTTGTCTCAGTGTGCCTGTTACATTGGAAGGGGTGGAGCCTTAGGTATTTGCCAGGATGGGCCAACCTAGGTCACTGAGTTTTGTTGCTGTATGTGGGGGAGGGGTCTGAGAGGGAACAATGCTACTTGCTTTGCTCTTGGCCAGCTCTCTGTCACTTCCACCATTACCCACAAGCAAATCGGGCCCTTCTAGTGCTGATTCCTGGGCGGGTGGGTTTGTGTACATTGTAGGACCCTGTGGGTCTCTCCAACGAACTCTCCTGTGAGGCTGGGAATTTCTCCTGCAGCCGCAACCCCCACAAATTTTTGTAGCCAGAGGTTTTGAGGATTTCTTTTCCTGCACTGGTACCTTGGGTTGTGCAGTCTGTCTCACTCCCCAGCTGTTCCTCCCAGTTTATCCAACCACAAATGTAGAACCACCCAGACTGCCAGCCACCGCCTTGCCTTCCTGGTCCTCCAGCTGCCAACTTGCTGCGTGTCCTCTCCGCCCTAACTGCCCATCTCCACCCCTCCTACCAGTCTGGATAAATGTTTTTTTTTTATTCCTTGGTTATCAGACTTCCATACAGTTCAATTTTCTTGCAGTTCTGGTTATATTTTGTTTTGAAATTTGTTGTTGCCCTCCTTTTGGTGGTGTGAGGAGGCAAAGTGTATCTGCTTATGCCTCCATCTTGGACAGAAGTCCCACTATTTTAATTACTGACACTTTTGAATGTATTTTAACATCTTATAGGGCAAATTCCCCTTCATTTTTCTTTTAAAAAACTTTTGATAATCTTTACGAATTTTCAGTGCCCCTCCCAATTCCCTCGAGGACTTAGAATGGTAAATGTATACATTAATTTGTGGTGAACTGACATTTTTACAGTAATAAGACCTTTCATTCATGAATGTGTAAGTGTACCTTCATTCATTCAAGTAGTCTTCTAGGCTTAAGTTTGTAGTTTTGTATGGAAGCTCCCTGCACAGTTCCTTCCAATCTTTTCTTCCTGCATACATACACATTTGTCGGAACAGACTATACTATACTTCATATACGGTTTTATCACCTTCATTTCTTTGCACACTCTATGTGAGTTGTTTTTCTTTTAATGGTTTGTTTCTTCCATTACCATTTATCCCCTTTACACCCTCTTCCACCTCCACACACCCATGAACATCTTTCAACTTCATTTTTAAGTATATTTTATTGATTATGCTATTACAGTTGTCCCATTATTTCCCCTTTTGCCCCCCTCCTCCCAGTACCCCCGCTCCCTCCAGCAGTCTCCCCTCCACCTGCCTCCCCAGCTCATGTCCATGGGTCATACATATGAGTTCTTTGGCTTTTCCACTTTCCATACTATTCTCAACGCCCCCCCTCCCATCTGTTCTGTACCTACCAGCCATGTTTCTTATTCCCTGTACCTTTTACCCCATTCTCTCCCATTCCCCTACCCACTAACAAAGCTCCATGTGATCTTCATCTCTAGACCCAACTCCTGTTCTAGCTGCTTACCTAGTTTGTTTTTGTTTTAGATTCCGTTGTTGATAGTTGTGAGCTTGTTGTCATTTTACTCTTCAGAATTCTAACCTTTTTCTTAGGTATGTCTCTTCAACATTTCCTACAACAAGGGCTTGGTGATGATGAATTCCTTTAATTTTACATTGTCTGGGAAGGACTTTATCTGCCCTTCCATTCTAAATGATAGCTTTGCTGGATAGAGGGATCTTGGATGTATGTAGGTCCTTGTTTTTCTTCTCTTTGAATACTTCTTGCCTCCAAGGTTTCTTTTGAGAAACCAGCTGATAGTCTTATGGGAACTCCTTTATAGGCAACTTTCTCCTTTTGTCTTGCAGCTTTTAAGAGTCTCTCTTTATCTTTAGCCTCTGGCATTTTAATTATGATGTGTCTTGGTGTGACCTTCTTTGGGTTCAACTTGTTTGGGACTCTCTGAGCTTCCTGGATTTGTATGTCTATTTCTTTTGCCAAAGTAGGGAAATTTTCTTTCATTATTATTTCAAGTAAGTTTTCGATTTCTTGCTCTTCCTCTTCTCCTTCTGGTACCCCTATTATTTGGATACTGGTTAATTTAAAGTTGTCCCAGAGGTCCCTAAGAATACAAATACATTTTTTTGTATTCTTGTTTCTTCTTTATGTTCTGGTTGACTGTTTATTTCTTCCTTTTTCTTCCAAATCGTTAATTTGTCTTCCCATCTTCCTTCCCTTGACTGTTAGTTCCCTGTATATTTTTCTTCATTTCACTTTGGATAGCCTTCACTTCTTTCTTTATTTGGTGGCTGAATTCAATAATTTCTCTGAGCATCCTGGTCACCAGTGCCTTGAACTCTGCATCTGATAGGTGCAGAGTTTCACTTAGTTCTTTTTCTGGAGTTTTGATCCATTTCTTCATTTGGTCCTTATCTCCCCGTCTCTTCATTATGGCAGCTTCCTTGTGTTTCTGTGTATTACGTAGAGCTGCTTTGATTCCCATGACTGATGAGCCTGTTACACTGTAAGGGGGGAAGGCCTTAGGTATTGCCAGGATGGGGTAGCTCACTTCATTGTTTTGTGGTGCTGTAAGTGGGGGAGGGGTCAGAGAGGGTACAATGCTGCTTGCTCCCTCTTGACCCATTTCTAGTCACTTCCCCCACCTCCCTTAAGTGTCTGGCACCCTTCTAGTTGCTGTCCTGGTGCTGATATCCAGAGTAGGTGGGTTTGCAGATGTTCTAGGGCCCTGGGGGTCCTTTAAATGGACTCTCCTGGGACACGAGAAGTTTCTTTGGCTTTGCCAACTCCCACAGGTTTATAGCCAGAGGTTATGAGGCTTTATTCTCCCATTGCTGGAACCTGGGCTGCACAGTCAGGCCTGGGGCTCGGTTTGTTTGCTGCCCAGTTAACCCTCCCGGTTTTTATCTGCTGCATGTTAATGTGGGACTGCCTGGTCCTTGGGCGCCGCCCCTGCCCACCACCCTGCCATGACTTGGCTGTGCCAGGTGACGTTCTCTCCCTCTGGAAGAATATTTCTTCTTTAAATCCTTGGTTGTTGGACTTCCATACAGTTCAATTTTCTAACAGTTCTGGTTGTTTTTTGTTTTTAGATTGGTTGTTATCCTTCCTATGGTTGTGCAAGGAGGTGAAGTGAGTCTAGTATGCCTCCATCTTGGCCAAAAGTTCTCAATTTCATTTTCTATCATATGTTTTAATGACAGCATATTAGTGCATCAGATGGATTTACCACAATGGATTTAATAGTTGTTGAATGTTTAGGGTTTTTTTTTTTTTCTTTTAACCTTTGGCTATTATAAACAGTTCTCTGAAGACTGTCTATGATATACACCTTTTGTCCATCTCCTTTTCCTTAGGACAGTACTTCTCAAACATTTTCACCATAGTAGGGCAAACAAGTACTTCTAGGCGACCTGGTGACAAAGGCTCAAATGACTTTCTGCAACTGCGAGGCTTTATGTCTCATGATTTAATTCAAGAAGTCAGATGTATTTTTTGTTTTAATCCACAATGTGCTGGTATATGTTTGCTTTAATGTAGAAACATTTTAAATCAACTACCATCCAGTAAAACTGATACTTAAGGAAGATATGCTCCTCTTCCTGTGGCCTCCAGTACGCCCCAGCACATCACTGTTTCCCAGGGCACATCCAACCCAATTTGAGAAGCATTGTCTTAGGAAAAAGTGCTAAAAGCTGACTACTTTTTTTTATTTTGAAAGGTGAAGTGAAGATCCAGAAAAAAATGCCTGTCATTTATATTTATTAACTTACAAATCTTGAAGACATTTCAGATGAATAATAAATAAGTCCACTTCATTCAAAAACAACCCACAAAACAATGCTATGTTTTTTTTATTTTTACAGGCATATATATGAATGCAAGGAAAAAAGATCTGAGGGGCTAATAACAAACTGTAAATACTTTGCAGGGAGATGACTGGGATTTGGGGTATGAGAAGTGGCCAAAGAGGAATTTGGCCTTACAAGCAATTTTTAAATTTTTGACAAAGAAATTATTTTACATACATTAATCCTACAGATTATACAGATTATATACGGCAGGAAGGAGGAGGGTAACAAATAGCATTCTACCTGCAGATGTCCACTAATCTACATTAATAAAAAAACTTTCTTGCCCTGACTGGTGTGGTTCAGTTGGTTGGATATCACACCACAAAGTGAAAAGTTCCCAGGTTGATTCCCGGTCAAGGCACATGCCTGGGTTGCAGGTTCAGTCCACAGGTTGGGGTGCAAGTAAGAGGCTACTTATCAATGTTTCTCTCCCTCTTTCCCCCTTCCTTCCCATATCTCTAAAAAAAATACAAAACAGACAAAAAAAAAAACCAACCCCTTTCTTTTGGCACTTACCTACGGACACTGGCAATGGTCTCTCTGTTTTTGAAACGACTGAAACGAGCTGTGTAGTTCAGAGTTTTCATGAAGACTTCAGAAAGTTCCTGTTCATCTTCTGCACTCTCATTCTGTTGCTTTCGATGCTCCAGAAGCATATGAACTTCTGAATTTAGAAGTGTCTCAGCTGTTTCAAACTCTACTTGTGAGAAGCACAAATGTCAGCTGAAAACACTCCTTCAGAAGTCAGTTTCTAAAGGTTGATTTTTGCATTTGAGACTAATAGCAAGTCTCTGTCTCTGCAGAAATCCAGATACGTCATATCTAACAACTCTATACCACAAGGCACGGTGGAGTTCATGAGATACTACAAGGCTCATTTGGGCTAAAGTTTCTGATATCAAAGAACCTAGATATGCTATTAAATGACACATCATTGCCCTGACCTGTGTGGCTCAGGTGGTTGGACGTCATCCTGCAAAGCAAAAGATTGCCAATTCAATCCCTGGTCAGGGCACATATGAAGAGCAACTGATGGATGTGTCTCTCTCTTTCTACCTCCCTCCCCCTCTCTGTATAAATAAATAAATGTATTTAAAAAAAGACAAGTTATACTAATTAGGCCAGTTATTAGTTTCAAAATGGGGCATAACCAACAATTATTTCTCTCCAGCTTGCATAAGCTCATAATCTATTTCTATTTCATAATACTAATACTATACTCTCAATTTTTTTACTTTTAAATACTTGAGCATAGTTGGTATGCAATATCGTATTATGTTATATTAGTTTTAGGTGTACATTACAGTGATTTGACATTTTTATACCTTACAGTGTGATCACCTTACTAATGCTAGTAGCCATCTGTGACTGTGCAAACTTATCATAATATTGTTGACTATATTCCCCATCCCCTTTTCACCCATCCCTCACCCGTCTCCCCTGTGGCAACCATCCCTCTGGTCTCTGTTTCTGTAAGTCTGGTTTTGTTTTGTTTTGTTTGTTCATTTGTTGTTTTAGATTTCACTGTATAAGTGAAATTATACAGTATGTGTCTCTCTCACTTATTTCACTTAGCATAATACCCTCTAGGTCTATCATGTTGCAAATGGCAAGACTTCATTATTTTTTTATGGCTGAGTAATATTCCATTTATATATGTATCACTTCTTCCTTATCCATTTATCTATTGATGGATACCTAGGTTTCTTCCATAGCTTGGCTGATGTAAATAAAGCTGCAATGAACACAGGGGTGCATATATCTTTTCAAATTAGTGTTTTTAACCCTGGCTGGAGTTGCTGAGTGGGTTGAGCGCTGGCCTGGTAAACCAAAGAGCAGCCAGTTCGATTCCCAGTCAGGGTACATGCCTGGGTTGCAGGCCAGGACCCCAGTAGGATGCATGCAAGAGGCAACCACACATTGACGTTTCCCTCCATTTCTTTCTCCCTCCCTTTCTCTGGAAATAAATAAATAAAATATTAAAAGAAAAACAAATTAGTGTTTTTGCTTTCTTTGGGTAAATGCCCAGAAGTGGAATTGCTGGATCTATTTTTAGTTTTTTGAGGAACCTCCATACTGTTTTCCATAGTGGCTGTACCAATTTGCAATTCCATCAACAGTGCATGAGGATTCCCTTTTTTCCACATCCTTGTCAACACTGGTTATTTGTTGATTTATTGAGGATAGCCATATGACAAGTGAGAGGTGATATTTCATTGTGGTCTTGATTTGTATTTCCCTGATGATTAGTGATGCTGATCATCTTTTCATGTTTGTTGGCCATCTGTATGTCTTTGAAGAAATGTCTTTCTCCCCATTTTTTTAAGTATATGCACTGCATAAGCGTGCACTGTCTGCTCATTTTTTGATAGGATCACTTTTTTGTTATTGAGTTGTATGTGTTCCCTGTATGTTTTAGCTATCAACCCTTTATCAGATATATCATTTGTGAATAAACTCTCATATTAAGAATTACTGTATTTTGCTGTGTATATTGCGCACTTTTTACCCAATTTTTTGAGGGAAAAATAAGGATACACATTATACCTTGGTATGATTACAAACCATGGGTATGATAATCCTGTGTATAATGCACACAAAGATGTGCATGCACATTATGCACAGCAAAAAAAGGTAATATGTTATGTAGGGCCAAATGTTTGGAAGCACACATTAATAACATGCCCCAAATTCTATTTTTTGTACCTGCACAAATCAATTGGCTCAGGTTACCACCTATTATATAACAGGAATTGAGCTTGTAGCTAAATGCCCATTTCCTCTGGATTTCATAATCAAAGGCAGTCTGTCAACTAAACCTAACTTAAATATATACCATGATGCAAACTTCTTGCCCTTGATACTCATTTAAAATAATTCTCTTGACCAGTAAGCAATATAAGCAATCTATATGAGCAATCTTTAAAAACTAAGTTTAAATGAGAAAAAGAAACCTTTGGCTCCTTTCCATAATACATGGTGACCTTTAGCTGTATTTTCAGGATGACATTGTTAAAATGCTATTATCTCCTTTGGAAGATCATTCTCTCTCTCACATTAGGAGCATATGTTCCTAATACTTATTACAAAGTGTAAAAGCTGGTTTTTTATCTGCTTTTCCCTTATCAGTGAATTCCCCTAGAGTAGAAACCATCTATAAACATGAGTTCATGTTTATAATGCCACACTGATGAAGAGGAAGTGGTTGTGAGAAAAATCCAAAGTTACTTGCAATTTGGTATTTACATGTGACACAGGTATGTTTACTTTTGGGGAAATTGGTACATTCACTATTGGGGAAATCACGAACACTTCTGTCAGATTAATGCCTTCCATTTCTTGGGCCTGGTGACAGGAACTTTACTTTCACAACAGAGAGAGAAAGAGAGAGAGAGAGAGAGAAAGAGAGAGAGAGAGAGAGATGCACGTGCATGCACGCACATGTTTGGGAGGGAGGGTCAAGAAGAAACTATTTTTATTTGAAAGGTTCTCAGTGCTACTGAATAGGCACCCTAAAGCTATTTTCTACCTGAGGGCAGCATAATTTGAAGAAGAGGAACCTCAGAGTTAATTATTTCCTCAGAAGAAATAATTTCCTCAGAGCAATGAGTGGAGAACACATTAAATATCAGGAAGTATGACCACAAATCTCTCTGAAGTGAGAGTAACAAGTGACATAAGGGGGGAAAAAGACAATAGCAGCTGAACAGGGTTAGTATCAGTCTGAGGCTGCAGCATTAATGCAGTCTTAGAAAATGAAAATTAAAAGGCTAAACAAGAGTTACTGCTAATCACCTCCAAGTTTATTACAGCTGTTGATGTTTTGAAGGCTTCTGGAAAATTGCCCAAAGTTATAGATGCCTCCCTTTATGCACTAAGCAAATTTACCTGTGAAATGTAATGGATGGGACTCAGGACACCGGGAGACTAATCAATCACCTGTCTCTGCTCCTCACTAAGGGCAATGCCCAAGTACTATTTATACTTCACCCTCTCTCTTTTCAACTAATGAAAGGTCAAGGCAGTCAAAGTGTGACTTGGAGGACCTAGGAGAGGGATGCCTGAGACGTACCAAAGAGGCATTTCTAGAATTTGAAATCAATAAATGGGGAGAGAAGAGGTGGTTCAAACACATTTTTATAACTATGGAAAGTTAGGGCCAAGACCTCTACCCATAGCTAACCACAACAAACCATTTTTTGGTGAAATCTCTCACACTCAAACACACACTATACACAATTTATTTGGAGAACAAAAGGAACAAGATCAGGGGATTAGCTCTCTCTGCAGATACTTTAAGAGCAATAGCCATAATTTGCTAATCCCTGTTCCTCTAAGAAGGAAAATAATTCCTTGGCCAGTACCTCATCTGGGAATTTCCTTCAGGATCCTTCGTTGCAACCATTAGTGTTTTATGATAAGGGTGGCAATTTCAAATGGTTTTCTTATACTGTACATTTTTCTCTCTAGTACAAAAATACGGGATTTCTTTAGTTGAAGGAGGGAATGATTGGGATTATAATGCTTTTTAGAAAAAATGGCTTACTTTCTAATTTCTTCAGTCAAGTTGCTATTAGTTGTATCACATGGATAAAAGACAAATTTTATTTGTGGGCAATTATGTTTGAGAAAACTACCACTAAAAATACTCAGTAGCTTTCAATCGTCTCCATTCTTCAGTCCTACAATTAATTTCACATATTTGCTCACTTTTCATCCTATAGCAAAGGCTTTTCTTATATTTTAAGTACTTAGTATTGTTTCAATAGATCTACATATATTCTAAAATACATAACACTTTATATGCCTATATTAGCTGAGAAGTTAAAGATAACAGATTGATAGAAACTAAGATCTAATTATATACCATTCAGTCCAATTTTCATGTGTACCAGGTGCTACCTGATTTTACCAAACAAGTATTTTCAGAGTGTTAGGGGAAAAAAAATTAAGTAAAAAGTACCTGGACAAAAGTCCAAATACAAAAAATTGGCTTAAATTATCATGAATTAAGGAAACCATCTCCTTCTTGGTTATTACACTTTTAAAAAGAAACAAATGTATATTGTCATTATGCAGAAAAACAAAAACAAACTGTGAAGCTATCCTGTGGAAATAATTGCACGTGAGTCAATGAAATAAAAAACTGTAAGCAACCTAACAACAGATGAATAGTATTACATTACAACCATTAAGTACTATCTAACCCTTTAAAAGAATAGGACAGTTCTATACAATATACCATCCAAATTTTTTAAAAGCTTTATGATTTCTATAGCATAATCCTATTTTGCAAGGAAAAAAGTGTATGTACATATTTATGAATAAGCATAACATTAATTCGGAAGAACAAGTACTAACCTGCTTACAATAGTTTCCTCTGGAAGAAAGGGTGTGGAATTTCAGTCCCCCTCCCCCAAGATTTTATTTATTTTCTTTTAGAGAGAGGGGAAGGGAAGGAGACAGAGAGGGAGAGAAACATCAGTGCGTGAGAGGTACATCCATCGGTTGCCTCTCACACGCCCCCAGATGGAATCCTGGCCAACAACCCAGGCATGTACGCTGGCTGTAAATCCAACCAGCAACTTTTCGGTTCGCAGGCCGGCACTCAGTCCACTGAGCCACACCAGCCAGGGCAGGGAGTTTCACTTTTTATTGTGAAAAATTATATAACAGTATTTCAAACAGGAGGGGATTGTTAAGGTTTATCCCATTTACTTTGTTTTTCAGTACCTACAAGTTATAGATTAAAATCTTAAGCTTTCTCTTTATTTTTGGTTTCTAAATTTCAAAGGGCATCACACTGCACAGAGGAAGTTCCCTGACAGCAAATGTGCTTCACAAGCTACTACTGACAAAGATTCCTTGACCAAACCAGCCAGAGTCCTCTGGGTCTCTTCTCGACTAGGCCTCAACTTTGGCCCACAAAGTCCTGAATAAAACACTAACATGATTTCTAACAATTCATGGCTGCATCCCAAGGATGACCCTACCTCCTCCAAAGAGCTTGCCTGTGAAAATGAAGAGCTTCCAAAATAATTCACTGTTTGTTCCAGCCAACAGGGGGCGGGCTGTGGGAGGGTAGGAAACTAACTCCACAAGCTCCCCGATAACAAACCAAGATGGATTTCAAAGGGACCGACAACCCTTTCCACTTCTTGTAATTTTCATTTCCCCGTCCCGACTAAGCACCCACTCACCGCCCCTCCCTATTCTTTCATTCTGCCTTTAAAATACCCAGGCAGCTCTATACAAATAGAAGTTGAGTTCAATCCACGGTGGACTCTCTTCCCTAATAATGTATTGCTGATTAAAATCTGTCCTGACCACTTTAACAAGTGTCGGCTATGTTTATATCTCACAGGTCTCTCCCGCATTTCGCACTGTATCAGAGAAAATAAACTACTGAAACATGTAGCCAGAGCTGCCCAGGGGCAATGTGGAAAAGCGCCGAGGGACCGAGGCACCTTCCCTCCAGGCACCGTGCCGGGTGCTCGGGCCATCGCAGGACTACAGGCCCCTCCTCGCGCGCCTGCAACCCTTCGGGCCTCGGACTACGCGAGGGGTAGAACGAGGCCTGCGGCGACCACGCCAAACGGCGGGGCAGCCGGGCAGCCGGGCAGCCCCAGGGCCCACCTTTGGGAAAGATGAGCTGTGAAGCATCCTCCTCTACGTCGCCACCACGCAGGTCGCTACCGCCAGCCGCCATCGCCCTGCTGCACGCCGACACCTACACCGCCGGAAAACGACTCGCGGGGGCCGCCTGCCTGGGCCCCGGAAAAGGCGGGACCCTGGGCGGAGCCCAGTGGTGGGGTGGGCGGGGCCAGGAAGGCTGAGGCTCCGGATCGGAGGAAGAGTGGTCGTTCACTTCTCCACTACGACCGGGCAGCGAGTCCTGGGGTTGGTCACTTGGCCTTTCTGAGCTTCAGCTTTCTCACCTGTCAAGTGTGGGTAAGGACTAGATGAAACACGGGAATGCGCTAACTGGCCCAAGGAACCCCCGCCGATGGAAAGCTGGGTAGGTGACTCCGGAAAACATACAATGAAATTTGTTTCAGTGCCTTAAGCATTTAAAAATATTGATTGCTTTGTGGTGGGTTTTTCAAAAAATTTTATGAGTTTATTTAAACCAAAACGGCAACACTCCTGGAAGCAAGACCTCTAAGTGCTCCCTTAGTGGATTTTCTGATACTTCTGAGCATGTGGACGGTGATCTGAAGAAGCTTTTAACATCTCTTGAAACATTTGGCCATAGAAAAGCAAGCAAATGAAAAATGATGTTTTCAACTTCAGAGAAAAGGTTTTACAATAAAGGTCATAACCACAGTGCACGACTTGGCTCAGTAGCAGTGTTTAGGTATCATGTAACCTTTGTAAACAAAAAATGAATTACCAGAGGAGAGAATGTACATTATAATTTTATAATTTTTACAAAATTATTTTGCTTTTAATCTGTATTTCCAGAAGGAATGTATTGGGTATGCTGATAAAAGAACTTCCAGCCTAAGAAAAAGCCTTGTAATACTTTATTTGATCCAAACTGACAGTTGAAGGGAAGGAAGCAAAATCTCCACGGATTGAGAAAATGCTCCAGAGAATGGCAGTTTTGCTGTTTATTTTATACATTAGTATCAAAGGAGGAGACATACCGTACTTCGTTGTGTATAATGCACAATGTTTTGCCCAAATTTTTGAGGGGAAAAATAAGGATGCACATTATACATGGGTATGATGATTACATACCACGGGTATAGTAATCCCATGTATAATGCGCACAAAAACGTGGGTGTGTGTTATACATGACAAAATACAGGTAAGCAGGGTTACATGAAATCCATTAAGGGGTGGGACTGGATAAAAAGTAAAAAGGAAAAGACATAGTTCTTCTATATTGGTGGGTCATAGAGATAGTATGTGGGCTACAAAATAATGAGGAGCTCTGTGGTCTCTTGCTCTGGTGCAGTGGGTATGCCTTGAGAGATCTGGAAAAGAAAATCTGACATATCAAAGGTATGTTATCTTAGATGCACAAAGACAATAGACAATCTCAAAGGTAACAACTGACCTTCGTCAAGGAAACTACAGGCCTATGACATGACTATGCACCATGACCCATATTTAGTTACGAATTTTTATCTTCAGACTGTATTATGTGTTTACTTTCAGTCTCCAAGTTTGTAAGGCTTACTATGCAGGCCTTCCCTGAGCTTGTCAGGTTAGTATGTGGCCCTGTTTTGGTCCACAGGTTAAAATAATAATAGGTTATATAGTACTGGTAGGGTTTATTACTGTTTCAAAGTGCTTTTCTACACAGTTTATTGGAGCTGTGAACAGATGTACTGATGAGTCCTGGGACACATAGTAGATGGGTGTGGGAAATGGGCCTCCAACTCAGTGTAGGCCTCTTTCTTCCATCTATCCATACAACAGGCCTTTAGAGAGCAACTACTACTTACTGTACCTTACCATGTGCTGGCCCAAGGGCTAGCTGGATACCCAACACTTATCTTCTGCACATACAGTGATCAGTTGAGAAGACAACAGGTGATGAGAGAAGGAAAATAACAAATAATACATGTAGTGATGTTTCACAGCTTGGTTTATCCACTTTTCACTCAGGAAACAATTGTAAATATTTATGTGCAATGCTCCAGGGTTAAAAAAATCAGTCATCGATGTCTCCTCAGTGAGAGCTCACCAAGAGTAGTTGATGCTAGATCTGGACTTATTTTCCAGAATAAAAGACCGAAAGTGGCAAGTGGTATGAAAGAAAGTCAAAGAAAGTGCTATAGAGTACAGAGAGCAAGAGGTCACTTTTGATTTGGAGTAGGTGAGTCACAAGAGACTCTGGGAGCAGAAGCTGGCACTGCTTCACAACATGTAGTCAGATGTGGGAGGGGCAACATGAACAAAATCATCAGATACATAGAATATTCATTCTTTATGGTAAATTCTTATTTCAATGTCCTTAAATGTCACAGTAACTATACAAACATGAAAGTTGTAATACATTTTTCATTAATGTTGCTATATATTTTTTTTAATCAAAAGAGTAATTTCCACCTTTTATATCCTTTTAGAATCTTTCTCAAGGAATCCCTTGTGGACCAAATCACTCCTATTTTCTACCTGGACCCAAATGTTCTGCCTCTTAAATAGAATGATAATGTTTCCTAGTTTTCCATATACTCAAGGTTAATGTACAGAATCTCCTATTTCATAAATTAATGTTTGGCACCTGCTGCTAAAGTATGCTGGTAAGTGCTACAAAAGAGACGTCTTCCTTTGCTATTAATAGTCTCTAGCAATACAAAGGAATGGGGTATGTGGGGGAGGGGTTGGTGGTTGTGTGATTCTGCAAACTGTCCTTGACTTCCAGGTACCAAAACCTCCGGAAGGCTGTCCTTGGAGTCCCGGACTTGAAGTCTAAGTCCTGTCTGCCTCTAGCAATGTCCATTTGGCTCAGTTGTTTTTTTTGTTTTTTTTTTTTAGAGAGAGGGGAAGGGAGAAATAGGAGAGGGAAACATCGATCGGCTGCTTCTTGCATGTGCCACATGTGCCCCAACCAGGGACGGAACCCACAACTCTGGCCAACTGGGAATCGGGAATCAACAGGTGACCTTTTGCTTGAGGGATGATGTCCAACCAAGCCACACTCATCACAGCATTAAAACTCTTCTTGAGGTGAATCTGGGCATACTTTGTATCCATCTCTCAGAAGGCCTATCCTGAATTGAGGCGCTGAGCCTCTTACCAATTATGCCTCTTTTCTGTGCCCACAGCTCTGGAAGGTTCACACTGGCCCCACAGCTCCCATCTACACCTACCACTGGGTGACACTATAGATAGTTAACAGCTGTCCAGCCATCACAGCTTGTGCTGGGGCCTGGGCAAAATATCTCCAACAGGCTGCCTTAGAGATTCGTACTCCTGCCACAAAGCAGGAAATTCAGCTTAGAGTAATAATCTACTTGTCTAGCTCATAACAGGGCCAAGATTCTATCTCAGGCCTGACAGCCTGTGAATGTCAGCTCCAATGTCAGCACCTTGGGATCTTTGGGAACCAGAATGGCCATACTGTGGTAGAGTACTGAGTGACTGAGTGGGTGAACTTGAGACCTCTCTTGTTTTGTTCCCCGTATCAACAATTACCAGTTTTAAAATCAGAGGGATCACTTGTTTTTTTCAGTTTGCTCTAGCCTACAGAACATACACAGAAATAGAATAAGCAGCTGGAACACAGAGACCCCAGAATCTTTCTCAGGGCTTCATTTTAGAATGCGGAACAAGATGGAGGGAATGGAACTTGCATTTGGTTCCTCAGGATGCTACTACTGATTCTTTCTACAGTATTGGTCTGAGTCAAGTCCTTCAACTAGCTCAATGAATAAACAGTATTTCAAAGCCAGATATTAAAGCCAAGGTCACAGACTGTTACTAACCTGGAAGCAGCTCTAAAGCACGTCCCTTTCCCCACTCCCACCAGAATTAGCACCAATGATCTCTAACCAGATGACTTAGTTCATGTCTCAGACAATAGGGATAAGTTAATACAGCAAATTTTGTTATAGCATACTACCAACACCAAGTCCCACCCAAAACAGTAATGTGAAATTCTGTTGTTTGTGTTATAGGTAATATGTACTATTAATCTCTAGAGCCCTAATTTCTACTGAAGAAAGAATTCCTCTCACACACCCCAGAGTTACTGTCAAATTGTATGTTCAATCAGTTGCTTGTAGTTTATTTCCAAAAATATTATCTAACCCAGACATCTAACATGTTGGCCATATGCTTATGAGCTCTGCCTAGTGTAAGGGCCTCAGAACTGGGTATCTTAAGGAAAAAAAAAAAATTACATCCTTGTAAAAATTTAAACTGAAGACTGACAATCACAGAATATGAATGTTTGTGTTTGAAAAACTGCTTGTCATTTTCTCCAAACACATCTCATCCTTTCTGGGCCACCTAAGAACAAAAAACATTTTCCTTTAGGTCAGAACATACCATTGTTCCAGGGACTCTGCTTAGATTAATGTCACCAAATGACATCTTAAGTTTGAGCATTTCTTCCCCCTTATAAGTTTTTGGGCAAGGTCAGTTTCAATGAAAAGCTAGTAAGATCTATGAACCTTCTTCCAAAGTCTAAACTTTAATGGGTTCATGAACCAAGGTTCAGAAAATGTGGCTCTAAAACACCAGTAGCATTGCTAAAACCACAAAAAATATATTCAAATGCATGGTTATTGGAGGTCATTAATATCTCACAAAATATGCAGCCTACCTGAATACTGTGTTGTTGACTGTTATCATTATTCCAAAAAAAGAGAGGCCAAAGAACAATTTTTACCCATTATGGTTTATTCTCTACAATACTTTGTTAAAGAGTTCAATGATTTGCACTCAGAATTTATATAGCCAAGAGGCAACCAAGTGTAATACGAAGAATTGGTCTGAAGCCCTAGCACTTGAAGGCCATACAAAGTCTCTTGCTTCAGGGAAATAAGGATGAAAACAAAAAAACAAACAAAAAAAGCCCCACAAGCTCCCTAAGCTCCAGAATCTCAACAAAAAAATAACATTAAGAGTTAGTGAAATTGTAGGTGTTAACATGGAAAACAGATTTTGTGCAAATATTAAAATTAACACCTAGCACTCCTGTATAGATTTTTATTATAAACAATAAAATGTCTCAATTACAAACCTTTCATGTTGAAAGGGGCTCTAACATGAATTACTTTAATATTATTAAGCGAAAAAGTTTAAGAACCTCACAGTGGAAACAATCCAACACTGACAAACTCTAGTGATCAGAGACATTCTCTTTTAATGTAAAACAAACACAATTCATAATTACAGAGAGAATGTCCTAGCTGTGGGTATTATGAGACAAGCTAACTTTCCAGACCAAAAGGCACTCACAGCTAGGGATGAAACAAACTCAACCAAACCAGCCAAGATGGGCTGGTTCCTTGAAAACAGTGGTTACCTACTGTTCAGCTTGAGCAGCCCAAGGGCTAACAAAACACCAAGCAAAAAAGATCCCCTTCTCTTTAAACCTACTACTCACATGTGTTGGCTATCCTCATCACTGAACTGGTTAAGTGTATGGAAGGCAGTTCAGTTTCAGTTTGGAGCTGTCATCCCCCTATGCAAAGCCATGTGGATAATCCAAACTTAGTATCTTTCCAGAGCCACCTGCCACACATCTTTATGAGGTGACCACAACCATATGCTTCCAGACAGCTTCCTGAATAGGCCCCATTTAGGATGGACACTTACAGTGCCATTGCATACAGGGCCAAATAATTTTCCTTGGTCAAGTCCTCTTGACAAGCAAGAGGACCTCGAGCACCTCCACTGCTGGACTTGTATGGAGTGTGAAGAAACGTGCAGGGTAAGGCTTCTCCAAAACTACTGAGCCCATTGCAGTGTGGTGCTGGGCTTAACCAGCCCAATTCTTGTGCACTGACCCACCCCCTCCCCTTGCATTATGCAGGTTTTAAATCTTCTGTTCATTTCCTTAAATGGCAGGTATCTTACCCTACCCTCAATAAAGTAAAATTAAACAAATAGGGCAGCATTTCTATATGAAAAAATAGGCTTGAAGAGCATGGCACTGTAAATGCTTGCATGACCAGTTTCACTGAGCGTGCTCAGGGGTAAAATTTTAGCACCATTTTTTTTGCTTTTTTTAATCTTTAGAAATTAAACACAACTTTTAACATAGAACACTTGAACAGTAATGAGTGTAGCCCTATGTGTCAATACTGTTGTACAAATTGAAGGTGGGTGGTTGAGTCCCAAACTGACCACCCTGACATCAATCCATGGCACCTAAAATAACTGTTGTCATGAGTGTAATATTTATTATTCTCAGCAGCAGGAAATCATGAAACAATCCTTCATCTTTCAATAGCTTTTTTCATTATTTCTGCAAAAAGAGTGGCAGGATGCAGGAATGCAGCCTGGCACCCTGATGCCGACCCTCTGCACCAGTCCACATCCTCATGAACAGAGGAAGATTCTGCTTACCTCTATTCATTTCTTCCAGGAAATGAGACAGCAATGCCTGCAATAGCATGTGTCATTTCTTAGACTGTGTCCTTGCCCCCTCTACCCCATTTCTGTCAGGCTTTACTCTTTACTCATTCTGGAAAGCCACACCATCACCACATAAGCTTTTAAAAATAAATTAAATCAAAACAAGTGTCCAACAGGTTGACACAGAATCCACTTAAAGAGTTCTCTAAGCATGTTGTTGAAAACCAGTGTATTACCCTTATGGTCTTTCCTTCCAACTGGCCACCTCCTTCCTGTGAATAATTTCATCAGTGCCTCTGTGACAATGTTTCCAAAGCACCTTCCAAGTCCTCAAATTCTATACTTTGCCACCAAATGAGAGAATAGGCAAGAGGAAAGAGAAAACTCGTTAACAGCTATTAAGAGTAAGCAACAATGGGAAAGGGAAATATAACACATGAAAATCTAAATGACCTAGAATAAAATGAGCCACTTGGAACTCTGCCCTGGTGGGATGAAGATTCCCAGCATATTAAGATAACAATTCACCTTAATTACACAGCTCTGTCCTCAAGTACTATAAAGGACTGAATTATCAGCTGTATTCTCACTTCTATAGGGAAACTAGAAAAAGGAACTCTTCTGGTTTTTAAGTCCCTTAAAGATGGTTGCCTGAAAAGCCAAAAAAAAAAAAAAAAAAAAAAAGCTTGGAGACCCTATATTCTCTCCTGTGACAATGTGCCTTTCTAAAGCCCAACCCAGGTGCTTGTTTGAATATCTGTGTCTTCTGTGAACCTAGATCCAGCTATAGGCACTGCTACCAGTAGAGGAGTGAGGTAGCCGGGTGGTAAGGAAGCAGTCTCTCCTTTCACACTGCATGCAGCAATGATGTCAGGACCTCCTGCAGGCATCCCAGTACATTCCTCAGCAGGTTACACCACAGAGCTCTCTGTTCAATACCAGGAGACTCAATGGAAGAAGAGTGTCAGAACATCCAACTGATAGTAGGGTGAGAATTAAATCCTTCAAAGCTGATTGAGCAATGAAATCTGCCACGCCATCCAATAATGATGTGGGTCTCTGTCCAGGAGCCTCAAAGGACTCACAGTGCCCACGTTCAACCCTAACATGGCGTCCACTTACAAAGCAGGGAGGTTGTAATCAACTGTTGGTATGCAACTGGAAGTTTAAAAAAAGGAATTTAAAACAACCTAGAAATGTTTCTTGTTGGTCTCCGTTGCCCAGACTGCCAGGGAAATACACCTCCTTGATCTGGGGAGGCTATAAGGGTGCCTTTGGGTTTAGCCTTCAAGAATCATCAATTCCAGCTTCCACTGTGTGGCCAAAACACAGGTGGCCACTTGCATGCCAAGGGTCCTCTGAACCCACGTGGCAATTCTTACTAGTCATGGAGGAGCCCCAATCCAATGGAACCCCATAATGAGGAAAGGCTGAGATAAGGCTTGGGCCCCTCAAGTTCTGCTTCATTCGGTACAACCCCCCTCACCTTCTCCCCCTCTCCCAGTCAGCTGGAGGCAGACTTGGCAACGGAAGCTAGCATCATAAAATGGTGCAGTAATAGAAGTAACTGGACCAGGAAGAGGAGGCATCTGCTCCAATGATGTCATAGCCATTGGTGGCCACAGGGGGGTGGGACTGGTCATGCAGCCGTGTGTCAGGAGTAATGATTGTAGAGGGGTGGGGCATGAAGAGTGCCATTCTGGAAACAGTGCTGTCGAGAAGCAATATACTCTGCATAACTGATTGTCACCTTCTCACTTCGGTACCTGTGTAAGGAAACAGGGAAGGGTATTATGACCCCCACGTATTTCGTTCAGTGAAGTTACTCAGCAGAGAAAACCAAAAGCTTATTCCACATTTTGAAAGGATAAAATGGAAGACCAAGAGCAACCTTACAGAAAATGAAAGACGGCACAAAAAAAACAATGTTGTTATTACAAATGAACGAGATGAAAAAGCACAATCACAATACCCCTGAAAATGTGTTTTCTGCACATCCCACCTTTAAACACTATATATGCTTATCATCAGGATGCTCTTAAGCAATCTGCTACTGGGGCCTGGAGGAAGAATTTCAAGTCAAATTACATGGGTGGCAGATTGGAAGATGACTGTAACCAATGCCCAGTGTAAACTGCTTTATCTACTTTCAGGTTGAAATGTAATTGACAGAAATGCAACCTCAATTTGCAAAAAGCAACAAACGAATTATTTATAACCAAAAGGGCACAGATAACCTAATTCTGGGTCAAATTCTCATGAAGGAGGTTAAAGAATCCTGGAGCAATATAAGATGGGTCTCTATTCCTGGATGAATATGCCATATCATATCACAGGGTCATCAGAACAGAATTCATAGCACTTGGGCTTTGCTCTGGAAAGAGCCATGAAGTCAGGATGCGAAGCATGGGGTGTTACAAACCTATGGAGCCTACTACAGACCACAGGAGCTGGGTGTGACAATCCTTACCCAGAGCCATCTCTTTCCCACTGTAATCACTCCTCCATTGCAAGGTGATTATTCCTGAATTTTGACAGGGAAATGGCTGTTCAAATAAATTATAATAATAATGATAATAATAATAATGCTTTGTATTTGAAGTTTTTTTTCTTTCTTTCTTTTTTTTTTTTGGAATCCAAAGCATTTCAAAAACACTGGGTTATCTTTCAAATAGACTTGTGAGGTTACTATATAATTATTCAGCACTTTACATATCAGGGGGCCAGAGGCCCACTAAAGCCCATAGAAGGTAAACTTCTCAGTGTTTTCAATTTCAGTAGGGATGGGAAGAGAAGTGACATCTACTGCCTGGCCCTGGCCTAGAAATTCTAATACATACCTTACACAACCTAAAACAACCTCAAGGCATTATCATTCACTTTTTACAGAAAGGAAATTTTTTTCTACTCAGAGAGGCAGAATAAACTGACCCAGGTCACATGGCTAAGTGGTGGAGCCGAGTTTCAGACCCCAAGTTCATGTACTTTCTACCACACTAGGCAGTCTCCTCAAAGAAGCATTCACTCTAAACAAGCAGAGATGTTTCTTTTTAACTCTTTATAAAAAGTATTTTCTGACTAATCCTTTATCATGCCACCTATATTCCTGCTATCTGACTGCATGTGACTTCAACTGACCTTGGCCTTCTGCACTAAGGGCTTTCTCTCCTGACTTCAATTTCCCTCTTCAGTTTCCCCCCAAAAAGTAAGTCTGGCAAAGACACCCACAATTTGCTCAGTGGCCTAGCCCTGCTCCTTCTGTTATTAGCTTCGCTGTTGAGATGCTCACGATGCTGGGGAGTCTTTGACTTTGCTGTCACTGTCTCCTCAGAGCCTCAACCTCACCATACTTCTGTGATTTAGAGAGTAGAGAAAAAAATTTTTTCCCCTTGCCATCAAAAGTACCCTTCATCCAAACTCAACTAAATTAAAATGACAAGGAAAATGAGACAGGGGCTTACCTGGTAAGTTTGATTGTTTTTCTGAATTCACTGGTAATCGGAGCCTTAAAGCCACCTTTCCTGAGTAAGGAATCTATTGTCTGGATCTGATCCCAGTCTGAGAAGAGACATACACTAAGGTCAATGCACAATGGCAGAGTGGGACAGGCTTCAACACCACAAGAGAAGAGAAGCTGCTAAGGAGGGGCAAAGGAAGCTCTGGGCACTGAGCTGTCTGCCTCACTGAGAGTCGAGGGAAAATCTTGGGAGATTTGAGACTGTGACCTGACACATGACATATGGCTGTCACCATGCACCTTGCTCCTGCATTTTTCCTGTCAGAGGTAATACCAATTTAAGACTGGTTGTTGACCTAGGGCTGGTATCCAGGGCTGTTCTATGGAAAGAGAGAATTCAAATTCTGCAGCTTATATTCCTTTGTGTGGCTTTTCTTCATTTTGAGGATTCCTAGAGACCTAGTTTCTATTATAGAGAATTGATGGGAGGAAAAAAGCTATTCCTTTAGGAAGGATAGGAAAGTTATTCACACATATACTATTGTGTTATTCTTGCACATTTTAAAACAGGTAAGACCTAATATATCAAATTGAAAACCAAAGAAAACTCCCTACATTACTGCAATATGTGCCACTTTTTAATTTTCTGAATCAACTTTCAAATGGCAAGTTATTTGACTATTTACCTAAGTTAGCATCACATTTCAGTATTAGAAAATACTTATGGTGTGCCACCTTGTAAAGGAATGTTAGATTTATGATTTCAAAAAAGTGGATAAAAGGTTTCCTTTTTGTATCACATCCACACCATTTTTGAAATAGTTTAAACAAAACCATGATAAAAACCAACAAGGCGCCCTGGCTAGTGTGGCTCAGTAGACTGAGAGCCAGCCTACAAGCTGAAAGGTCGCCGATTTGATTCCTGTTTGGGGCGCATACCTGGGTTGTGGGCCGGATCCCTGGCTGGTGGGTGTGTGGGAGGCAGCTGATTAATGTGTTTCTCACACATCAATGTTTCTCTCCCTCCCTTCCCCTCTCTCTAAAAAATAAATAAATAAAATCTTAAAAAAAAAAAAAAGGCCAATAAGGCAACTGTTGTCCACATAATTAGTTCACTGATATATTGAACTATGTATCACAGAATGCACTAGCAACATTTAAATGTATTCTTTTAAAGAGAAAACCTGCCCAACCCATTTCCTACCTTTAATGTTCAATTTAAGAACTTAGTAACTACCAAGTTCTTTCCAAGTTTTTTTTATAAAAGAGAATTTATGTTTTGTCTTTATTTAAGCATGATACTGTTTAATAACTTACGACCAAGAGTTCAAAACCCCAATATGTGTTGCTTCCCTTTACAGTGAATTTCACGATACGGTCAAGTTGATTGGTGGAATTCTGCTATAATTACCAGTCTTGGAGGACAATAAATAAAGCTATTCACTGGAAGTGAAACGAGCAAGTAGGAGAAATCTTTACTCCTTTTCTTTTCCCAGCTTCTGCATCTTTTAGGGAGTTTATTTTTTCATTCTGTAAGAATTTGATAGATATTAAGAGGAAAAAAGGCACTTACTCTTAGCTGCAGTTGGCGTGAAAGACAACACACTCCATTTCCCTGCCTTTTAGTTGGCAACACTATGTAAAGTATCATTCACCGAAATTCCGTTTGTCCAACTCACCTTGCTCCTTAGCAACCTCAGGTAAATATGTGGCTGTACGTTTGACGCCTTTTTCATTGACAAATTCAATTCGAATCCCATGGACCCCTACCTATAAGGGGGGGAGGGGAAACAGAACCAAATAAATGGCCTTTACTTATTCTAAGGGAACTTCAGCCATCCAGATACAAACTGACACTGTCCCCTGACCAGCTTGATCCAGGTCTGAGAAAAGGAGAACCTCTTGATTATCATCAACACATTCTTAGGTATAGAAGCCAAAAAATTTTTTTGCTTGAGAGAAGGTGTGATTCTACATGTAGCAAGCTTTCTGAGAGTATAAAGATTATATAAATAAATTACTTAATAGTCTTGTCTAGTTCACCTTCAATCTATTCCATTAAATGAGTCATTCACAAATGACTCTAACAACTTTTACTCAAGGGCTTACCAAGAAGGATCTGTAATATTGTGCTTTATCCTCATTATTATTTCTTATTAGACATGGGAGAAGGATGTGAACCACAGCAGACTGGGAAGACGGTCTTCATAATTCTTTCTGCTTCTAATATTGTAGCACCTTTTCTGTCACCTATGTTGCCCACAACTGCTTCCAAATTCAGCTTTCACATATTTATGCCCTCTCAATGAAGGAGATACATTACCATGTACTAACCCGAACCCAAATGCAACGAGAGATGCAGAGTTCCAAATGCAGCTGTTCTCACCTCCCAGTCCAGGTAATCAATGGCATCCTCAAAGTTAGTAAGGAGGGAGACAGAGCAGGAAAGTTTAGGCAGCTCCTCTCGGGTCAGGGGGGGGAATCGGCTGTCCTTAAGTGCACTGGAAGAGGATAGGAAACATAAGTGAGGCTACTCTGTAATTGGGAGCATATGCCCGAATATTTACAACTCGAGCTACTCAGAGAACTTTTATTATCCATTAATACTGATATGCTAAAAAAAAAACACTTGATTATATTAACTGCCTATACTTGAAGTGGTGACTCACCAGATTAAACCTTCCCATTTCCTGATTACCAAAAAGAGAATGCTCATTCTTTACTACTTAGAACACATAAAGTCAGGCAGCTGTTTTCAATTTTGTAGATACATTGATTGCCAAATATTCCACCGATCTTATGCCTTGTTTTATTACCTGGTTAACGTGTATTCCCTGAGTCCTGAGTGAAGATTCATGGCTGAGAAGGTCCCAATGCAGCCACGAAGCCGCTTGTCCCGCCCTGTCTTCCATGTCACAAAGAGTGGACTAAAAAAGCAAAACACAAAACACTCTCCAGCTCCAAAACAATCATGGATAAGAACAAAACCTTGGCTTTATTCCTGTTATTCCCCAAATAGACTGTTTTCTGAACTGCCAGCTATCTGAAGGACTCCCTTCCTGGGAGTCATGTATTCCCTACAGGGAAATGGAGAGGATACCTCACAGTAAGGCAGCATGAACAAAGGCTCTCTGGGCAGCCTTTCCTATGAGCCTTGCTGACAGTTTAGATACTCCATGTATGTGCTATATTCCTCTTCCTCTGTTCATGACTTCACTCTTTTTTCCTTTTAATTGTCTATAGCTTTCTCCTCTTCTTTACTCTAGTTTGAGTGCCCAAGTTCCCTAGTTCCATCCTTCATGAAGGTGTGCTGGGCCTATACATTTTCTCCTCACCTACAAACATTTCCTGACACCCCATATTATTCCCATAATTAGTTCTGCCACTGGCAACTATAAATATTTCCTGTTCATAAGTGTTCAGAAAAGAGAAACCATGTTTCCTGAAGAGAGCTTATTTTTAGCAGAAGTTGCCACTTTCTATTTCTAGGCCAAAGTCATGGTTCATTAGGCTACATCAGATTAATGGTGACAGGTTTTTTAGAAAGAGATCACAGGTCTGTCCCTCTTTCTCAGATTCTGCAATACTCCTATGCCTTTATCTCTTAAATTCTTGAGTTAAACACTTCTAAAAAGCAACTTAAAACTTGAAAGTTACCTACTTCTTTGATCATTATTACAAAGCCGATCTCTCAACTACATATCTTTCCCTTGCACTAAAACACTTGAACAGCACCAGCCAGAGTTACTCTCTCAACACCTATTCAAAAGCCCTCCAAGTACTCCACTCTCTGCAGGATGGGACTATAAACTGCTGGATATAACAGCCCATTTCCTGCAGTGCTGCAGCCACCACCCACTCTTCCAAACCTGTCTCTCTCTCGCCTTTAGAGGATACACCTGATCCCACTTAGACCAAAGCTGAGCCTTTCCACCTGCTCAGTAAGGTTTTTCTGACCACAGTACCCTATGGCAATACTCTCCAACAGTTAAGGGCATAGTCTCTCCTCTGACACAATTTACACAGGAGTGACTTGCCCTCTACTCTGCCCACAGACTGTGCCACACACTATTTAGCTTTGTGTGTGTGTGGTTTGCCACCTCAACAAGTATCCCAAGAGCAAGGACTTTTTCTTCATGCCCCTCCATTCCCTGCTCAGTAGGCCTGTGCAATGCTTTGCTATGCACTGACAGCTGAGGAGTGAATGACCTCAGGTGCATGAGTGCTCCAAAACCATCTTTGAAAAACAAAATCAAAAAGCTCTTTCAGCCCTGACTGGTGTGGCTCAGTGGGTTGGGTGTCATCCCACAAACCGAAAGGTCACTGGTTCAATTCTCAGTCAGGGCACCTGCCTTGGTTGTGATCCAGGGCCTTGGCTGGGGACTTGTGAGAGGCAACCGATATTTCTCTCCCTCTCTTTCTCCTTCCCTTCCCCTCTAAGATAAATAAATAAAATCTTTAAAAAAAGAAAAAAAAAAAGCAAGCTCTTACAAACCAGCTCAGAGCTACTTCCAGTTCTGAGAAGGGAGTAAACACTGGCATGAGTTTCTTCACCTTATGCTTTATACACATTCCCTGTTTATATCACTGACATGTTGAGAAAGCTGGGGATAAACAGAGACTTGAATTAAAAACATTAAAGCATATTCTGACATTCGAGATGGGCTGCCAGAGACCCTATGGAATTACCATGGGATTGCTGATGAACAAAGTGAGTTGGCTCTCATGAAGGGCATCACAGCTCCCACTAAATGAGCTCCTAGTCTCTAACCTTGCTCTCAGACACTTCCAATTCACTTGGACATCAACATTACTGGGGCCCACAATGGTGTGATAGTGTGACCTCTCCAATTCAGAGATTAAATATAACCTAGTCCCGTTCCAAAACCAAACTGAGTGAAAATTACAAATATTGTTGGACATTTCTCATCATCCTATTCCTGTTACCTTTTGTCCATATCTTGTTAATGCTTTTGTAAGTAGCAGACTCTCTCTGCTACTTATAGTAGTGTAAGGATGTCATCATGCCTTTCTCATTGTCCCCTGCCCTGATGGATTTACTCACTAGGGGTCATTGGTGAATCTAGGAAGTCGTGGCTGTGGGAAGCCATAGAGGTGACAGTAGAGGACATCAAAGCAGTAGCAGCACATCTCTGCAGTCACCACCAGATTCTTGGTGGTGTTGGCAGTTCCATTGGGTCGGGGAAGAGGGCTCAGCGCTCCCGATGCGGGATTCATTCGTGTAATGGGAGAGTTTCCAGGTCCCAGAGTTATGTCTGACACATTCTCCCGACCACTGCTGCCATCCACATGCTGGTGGTTTTGAAGAGGTCCTGAACTAGAGCCAGGGACAGTTGTGGACTGGTTCCCGTGAGTGTGCGTTCCGTTTCCAGATAACTTGGGCTTCTTGACCCCACAACAGCCTGCTGCCAACTTGGGCTCGAGTGGAGGAACACAACGTCTTTTTCCCATCCTGATTCAGTGCTCGAGGTTTGGAATGCTAGAGAACCCTAACCAGAAAGGAATAGGTAAGCATTAATTCAAACAGTTAGCTGAAAAGAGAAATAAAAAACCAAAACTAAAAAGAGAAAACAAAAACCAAAGAGAACGAGTCTCCGCAGAGAGGCAAAAGTAATTAATTCTCTTTCTCATCCATGTCACATAGTCACAAAGGGTCAAAGACCAGCAGGGCTAGAAGATACCCTGAGTTCCAGACCAGGAACTCCCTACCTTTTCCTGAAGGGGAAATGTAAAAAAAAATTTCCATAAAGCTATGATCGCTATAAATGGAGGCAGGCAACAAGGTTCTCTCTTGCCCAGGACTTTCCTGGGCAGAAAGAAGTGTAGAGTGGCAGGCATTGTGAAGCTAGATGATGGAGGACATTTCAAAAATGGCTAGAAGACTGCATTTGACCCATTAGACTCTTCATCAGGTTGCTTTCTCTACCATTTCAGAGGATCCAAACTGAACCACTCTATTTTTATAGGACCCTAGAGGAACTTTCATGTTTTTCCTTATTAACCACATCCTTTCAGCATCTTCCTCTTCACTAACCTAAATATATGTGTAATGCCAGCCCCAGACCTCAATGAAGTCAAAATGCAGTTAGCTGTCATTCTCAAGAGCTTTAGCACAGCTTCTAACACAAGGCTCCCATCTTTCTGCCTTCACAGCTATCATTCTCCAATACTACTCATTTTCTTTGGCTCTCTGAACCCACTTCAATTTCTGCACATTTCTCTACCCTCTTAGAAGCTCAGTCAAGAAAAGCTACAACCTAGTAGAAACCTTTATTCATACAAATGACCCAAGCTTCATAGTCCTTTTGTGAGGTAGCCATTCTGCTCTGTCATAGCAAAGCAGACATATGCAAAGCTACTTACCTTCACATAATGTGGCATCAGATGGACAAGAAAAGCAGTGTCCCATCTGATGATGTAAAGGGGAGGGAGGATCTGTTATGCTAAATCTTTTTTCTTAACAAGCCTAAGGTAAAATGTATAGCTACAACATGACCACGATCAACTTTCTGTTCTGTCAATAATCAAGAGAATGAGGAAAATAGATCCTAGTTATTTCAATGTCAATTATACCAAAGTTTGTAAAATTCTGTTGCCTTGAGAAGAGTACACTGCTTTTCCTCAAATCATTAATGTTAGTGTTAGTCCTTCTCCAAATTATATATGTATTACTCTACCTAAAATTTTCTCTATGATTTGAGCACATGGCACATAACTGCTTCTTTAGGCACTGCCCTACAACATAGTGTTTTGGTTATAAATTCTACAATCTTTTAAGTCACATTAAGTAATTTTAAGTTGAATGACATACAAACATTTCACAAATATTTACTTTCTTGATATATGCTGATCCATAAAATATACATTTTTGTATCTATAGCAGTTCTTAGATGAAAGTGGTCTATAACCGAGGAAAAATAGCTTGTACACATCAATGTGTGGCTTGAAATAGTATTCTTTTTGAAAAAACCTTATGCACTTGATCCATTAAAACCTCCAAAAAGTATACTGTTTCTGAGCATGGTCTTCACTGTCTTGTTCAGACTATTAAGAGAAGGAGCAGAATGCTTTGGTTGAAAATGTTAACTCCAAAGCCAACTGGCATGGGTTCAAATCCTGATACCTTCAGGATTACCTCTCTGACTCAGCTTGTTCACAATGGGAACAATAGGATTTGTCTCATGTGGTTGTTAGAATAATGAGATTAATATATGTGATGTTCTTCACATATATTAAGTGTCAATTCATTCAGCTGCTCCCACCAGTATGGAACTCCTGGAGGGCCAGAACTTGTACTGCACAGGTGCTCTTTAAACAGGGTTTCACAAACCCTCAAAACTACTCAGCAAGGCGGGACCCTCAGTCTCTATAAGCCAGATAACCTGTCCAAAATTAGACTGCCAGTAAGTGGTAGACTTAGAATTGGGACCATAACCTTATCTGTTAGATTCCAAGGACGGGGTTTTCCCACCATGCCACAAAGAAGTGTGAGTCTTGCCAGTTACAGCCGTTGGATTCAGTCCCCTTCCTAAGGGCATGATGAAAAACAAACTGCATTCAAGGGTATACTAAAAGCTAGCCTAATGGTTTGCAGAACCTTGCCAACAAAAATGGAGCAGGAAAAATTCAAAACCAACACTTCAGCCATCACCCGGATATTTACCAGTTCCCCTGACATTATCATTTAAGTTCACAATGGATGCCACTTGATGGCCTCTGAGCTCTTGACTTTCTACCTTTTACCTAACTGTAGGGAGGGGATTTAGGACAGGTGTTGAATGAAAGAACAGAATTATCTCTAGACAGCTGTAGTCTTAACAGGGCCAAAAAGGCCCAGAGTGTCTCATTTAAAGAGCCCAAAATTCAAAGAAACAAAAGAGATGGGAGGAAACACAAAGGTTAAAAAAAAAATTTCCTCATTCTTAATACACTAAAGCACACCTGAAGGAAGAGCTAAATGCTAGATGGTGGCAACTGAGGTGTTCCTAACAGGTGTTATCAACTACCTGAGTGGCAAAACACCCAACAACAGAGCAACAGATTTTCATGTACTGAAGTCTAGGGATATTCTGACTACATACAATGTCAATCACTGATCTGCAGTGGGCATGGTCACAAGTGATTACATTTAACAATTTCTCACACCCTCCCAAACAACAATTTTGAAATTATGAAGCAACCCCGTCCCTGACCAGGTAGCTCAGTTGGTTAGAGCATTGCCATGATATACCAAGGTAGTGGGTTTGATTCCCAGTCAAGGCACGTACAAGAGTCGACCAACAAACACATCAATAAATGGAACAACAAATCAGTATTTCTCTTTTTCTCTTCTTCCATCTCCTTAAAATCAATTTGAAAAAAATTAAAAAAAGAACCAACACAAATTTTGTGGTTCTTTAGGCCCACAAGTTTATGGAGAGATCACGTAAGCAAACAATTTAAATGAAAATTCTCAGTTAGTGACCAAAGCCAGCACCAGACTTTCTGTATCGCTTTGAAAATTTATTCTATAAAATTAAATCTATGGAAAATTCAAAATATAAAACAGCATAATGAACCCAATATCCAGCTTTAATAATTTTCATCTGTAGCCTCCTCACTCAGTCTACCTCCCCTCCTCCATTCAATTATTTTGAAGACATGTTTTTAAGGGGGCCAATACTTTAGTTAGCTGTCAGCATAAAGCAAATATTAAGTACGATAAAGAATGTAAAATAAAATAGGGTGCTGGTAGTAAATACTTTTTATTTACAACATTAACCACTATCCACTAATTCCAAAAAAAGACTTTCTCCTTAGGTTGGAGACTCTTCCAAGTCTACTCCAACAAAGCAAGCATGTCACCACAACCAAGGAGTCCCAGTCAGCTTTCAGGACCAACCTACAATTATAAGAGTCACTTCTCCAACAGCTTGGTATCTGAGAGTACAGTGTAAGATACCTCAGAATAACAGAATTTCAATACAACAGACTAATCTGCTGTCTGACCAGCTTAAATAATAATAATACCCCTAACGACATACTCAATATCTCTTCTGAAACAGTGTGGGAATTCTCACTCTTCCTCAAAACCAGCTATGGTACTTTGATCATAGTAGGAGTAACTGAATGGTTAATATGGTCAGTTCATCTGAAATAACCATAATTAAGTGTAAAAACCCTTGTTTTACAGACACATATATCACTGACACCCTCTCAAGCCTTCAGTTGCTTACTTTCTAAGCTAAACTCAAGGGCTACTTTAAGAGCCGGTAGTAGTGATCTCATTTTCCTCTGTCCACTTGAGTTCAACGTGAATGAGCTAGGTAAAATTGGATTTCCACCAGATGGAGACAAATTCATACTTTCACAAAAAGATGGAGGAAATAAATTACTGTTTTACCTATTCACTTGAGACTTCCTAATCTAGCAAGTGTCGAATAAAGTATGCTGTCAGTGTTGAAAAGTCATACTCAAGTGTCCTGCCCTCCTTATTAGGGTCTGTAACAAAGACCAGATGAGGACTCTTCCTCCCTTTCTGTGGGGAAGTTGAGCAGGGTTCTATTGCCACTTCAGTTCCAGCCAGCAATGAAATCATCGTCACCTTTAGTCTCAGAGGCCAGGTGGTATTTGTTTTTGTCTTTCACAACACTTAACGCAGTGTCCTGCATATACACACAAGCCATTTTATCTACAGATGCCCTAATTATTTCATTTAAGGTTGCCTTTAAAAAAAAAAAAAAGAAAAAAAAAGGATTTTAGCTGTGGCTCAGCGGATTGAGTGGTAGCCTGCGAACCAAAAGGTCACCAGTTCAATCCCCAGTCAGGGCACATGCCTGGGTTGTGGGCCAGGTCCCCAGTTGGGAGCGTGTGAGGGGCAACTGATTGATGTATCTCTCACACACCTATGTTTCTCTCTCTCTCTTCCCCTCTCTCATAAATAAATAACATCTTTAAAAAAATAAAAATAAAGATGTTATTTATTTTTCAGAGAGAGGGAAAGGGAGAAAAAGAGGGAGACAAACATTGATCAGCTGCCTCTCACATGCCCCCAAGTGGGGACATGACTGCAACCCAGGCACATGCTCCTGACCAGGAATTGAACAGGCAACACTCTGATTTTGTGTAGTGCTCAACCCACTGAGCCATACCAGCCAAGGGAAGTTTGCCTTTTCTATAAAAAAAAGTTCATGGCACAACCTAATCATTAGATACTTGACTCCATTGTAATGTGCTAACTGTGGAGTGTGGCAGAAACTGAAGCTAAATTTTAAGTGTCATTCTTTTTAACAATGTGACCTCTGTTCCTAGGAATGGCTTCATTCATAGTAAAATGGATAGCCAATATGGCAATTCATTAAAAAATTAGGTTAAATATCCCCTACATTAACTTCTTTGATTTATGCTGGCAGCTGTCTTCTTTGCTAAAACATACCAGTAACTGGTCAGTCCTGGACTTTGCCTCAGGTGATACTTAACTTTAGCTTGCTCAATGCTTTCCTTTAACAGGTTATACCTACTTTTTCAACTGTACTTGGGGAGAATTTTTATTCTTTCTTTTTGAATGGTGGGGCACTTTTATTTGCCTAGAGGGCAATATATGATTTCAGGAGTTAATACAAATGATGCCTCAAAAATTGCTGATGTTTACAAATAAGGTGAAAAGACCAGTAGTGAGGGGAGGATGTGATGACACCATGACTGAAATGGCTGGCTGGGCAGAGGACTTTCCTCCCTTACTAGGGGGCCTCTTACAAGGCCCTTAAGTACTGTAAACAATAAGCTGCAGTCTTCTGCCCTGACTGGTGGGCCTCAGTTGGTCAGGTGTCATCCCTCAAAACGAAAGGTCACCAGTTTGATTCCCATTCAAGTCAAATGCCTGAGTTGTGGGTTCAGTCCCAGGTCAGGGTATGCAAAAGAGGCAACAGATCAAGGTTTCTCTCCCTCTCTAAAAACTAATAAAATCTTAAAACAAACAAAAAACCCAAACTGACATCTTCCCATAGTAGTGTCCATCTTCAGAGGACAGAACCTAGGTTCTGGGGTTATAGTCTAGGCTCAAATCCCAACTATCACCTGCCATACACTTGCTATGCAAACTCAGGCAGGTTGTCACATCTCTGTGGACTTGGGCTCCTGCTGCCACACAGGGTTATCTGTCAATGAGCAAGACATGAGGAGCATCTAGCAGCTCTTTCGCATATAACTATTAATTAAATTATCTACTATAACCAATACTACCACTACCTCTGTTAATAAAAGCAGGGTTGGTTCCAAAAACAACATAGCTCTGAGTTCTTACCACATCTACAGAAATAACTGTCTTTATAATAAACTTCTAAGAACCACCTTGCAGTCCAAAATATCATTAATAATGTGATTATGACTTCAATGTCCTAATGCTTTTCTTCTTTGGAGAGCAACAACTTGTAAATCATCCCCTGTTCTTTTCATTGTGAGTGCCAGAAAACATAAGAAAGAATATTGGGCTGTCTGAGAGTTGTACACAGTTCTATTCTACCTTGGTCCTCTTTTAAGCTTATACTAAAAAGAAACTAAACTTGATAAATATGTTATTATTATAGAAATCTTGATCTATATTGAATACTAGTAGAACTACTGCATCAAAGTAGTTAGATTTCAAACAGTAATCAGATTAAAATACCTAGAAAAGCCTGGAAGTAAAAAAATATCTAGTTTCACCTTTTGAGGATAATCCACAAAACAGTTTATTAGAGGTCATGACCTTATACCAAAGAGACTTGTAAGGTAGGAAACAGGCAAAGAAAAATTGAATTTTCTCCTCTTATTGGTGTCCAGATGTCTGTTCCAATCAAGCGTCATACAGAAGGAAACAAGACTGTTGTTTCCCTTGTGCAGGAGTTAAAACAAAAATTCAATTTAATATTGGGTTGGACAAAAACTTCAAAACAATTTTGTTAGATTGTATTCTAACAGCTGTCATAGCAGCTTACACTTAAAACACACACACACACACACACAAACATTATCAAAATTGGTGCATTTTTGTGTGGTTATTTTAATATTTAAGATGGAAGAAAATAAGCAACACTTTCAGCATATTATGCTTTATTATTTTAAGAGAGGTAAAAATACAACTGAAATTAAAAAAAGATTTGTGCAGGATATGGAGAAGGTGCTGTGACTGTTCAAACGTGTCAACTGGTTTGTGAAGTTTCTTGGTACTGCTGACATTTTGGTCAAATAATTCTTTGCTGTGGGGCTGTCCTACGCATTGGAAGATGTTTAGCAGCACCCCTGGCCTCTACCCACTAGAAGGCAGTAGTGTGAGATAGCAGAAATATTTAAAACATCCAAATTAATAAAGTTATTGGAGAAAATGAAAACTGTGTCTTTTATTTTATGGAAAAAACTAAATGGACTTTTTGGCCAACCCAATAATTGCATCATGAGTAGTAAGAAAGCATCTGAGCTACAATGCTGACCTACTTATGGCACTATTTCAAAAAGTAGTCAGATGAAAAACACACAAACAAGAACATGCATGAATGACTCATGGACATGGGCAAGGGAGAGGGGACTGACCGTGGGTGAGAGGGGTGGGCTGGGTGGTTGGGTGGGGCCCAAAATGGAAAGAAAAAAGAAAAGAAATTGGGACAACTGTAACAGAATAAACAACATTAAAGAAAACAAACAAAAAACCCCACCCACAAACATTCTAGCAAACATTTTAAATAATTGTTTCTGTTATTTTTGAAACCCCATGGTACACAAAACACTTACTATGTGAAAAACTGCCCTACAAAATACAGATCTGCCCATATAACTGCTTTACAAGTTACAGATTTAGAAAACTGCACAGAACTTTACATTTTCATGTCAGCTTAGCTTACAAAAAACCACACATAAATACAGGAGTCAAAAGTTTTATTTTTAGATCCCTCCCTTTACTATGTGACCTATGGCAAGGTGCCAGATCTTTCTGGGCCTCAGCTCTTTCATTTGTAAAAGGAATGTATTTGTTCCCTGCCTCCCTCACAGAGGATTTGTGATATTCCAATATGATGTGAAGCACTCTGAAAAACTCTTTTACAAGTGTTGGCATAATATTATTAATAAACTCAAAAGGATGCAACAGTAATAAACATTTTTCCAGAACTTTGTTTACATGAAAAAATTTTCAAGATAATAGTATCACCATTAACAGACTTAGGGAAAAATGTTCCAAAAATCTCTGAAGATTGTAACTCTATGTTAGAGACCCAATAATTAACCTTGAGAGGAACTGCATTAACCTCTGCTGTGTTCTTTGGTTGTCTTAAAAAATAAAATACTACTAGTATTTTGGGAGGGGGCAGAACCAGACTTACATACTAAAGACATACGGGATAAGTGTAATGCTATACAACCATCTAGGTCATGTGTGATTCTATTGGGATTATGGATAATAAACATATATTTAAATACTTAAATTACTTTAAAAGAGAGCAAGGGAAGGAACTTCACCCACATTAGGACCCCCTCACTGAAGTACAAAAATTCAAGTGAACCAAATAAAACCTATACCCTAAAGTCTTAACACAAGTCTAAAACAAAAACAAAAACAAAAACAAAGAAATTCTATTCCTAATAAACAAGGTGATACTCACTGAAAGCAGAAAGTTTGTATTGCCAGGGGAACAGCTATAAAAGAGGAGGGTAGCTACTTTGTCTCTGAAATGAATTTTCTTCCTTCTGATTCCATTCCTTCTTCCTGTACCTAGAAATGCAGGTGTAGTGAATAAACAAAATCAAGGTAGTGTAGAGGTAAGATGGTTTTTTTAAAAACTACAACTCAACAATGCAACTTTTAAAAAAACATATAGCAAGGAACAGGCTCGCCTTACTTCAAAACATTTCAAAATCTAAATAAAAGGTGGCACTGGCAGTCCCTTGCACTGAATCACCAAGAAGTGAGGACACTGAAGATCAAAGATTTTACTGAACCTAAATATGAAAAACACATTAAAACTTTCTCCACCGCTAATTTAGTTCAAAATCTGCTCTCAGGTCAAGATATACCATTTCAGGACTTTCCACTGGTTTCAGAATACATATTCCTAAATCCTCTGCAAAGATGGTGCTGAAGAGTTACCTGACAGCATGCCAGGGTCAGGTCCTGAAGACATGCCATCTTGTTATCCCAGATGGAAATAGTAACTGTTCGTAAGAGCCATCCATCCTTACCCTTAGTCTTGCATAAATCTCTTCCACTCTCCCTACCCCTATTAGTAGAGAACTGAGCTATTCCCAAAGATGTAAACAGGAGGCTACCGGCTCCACCCACTCTATCCAAGAAGGGGACAGTGAAAGAGGATAGGCCCACCGGGATAAAAGGGAGAGTGGGGCATAGTGAGGAGTTCCGATCAGGACGCGGAATGGAGAAGGGCAGGGAATGAAGGGCAAACCCCACAACCTGGGAAGGAGAGAGGCAAAAAACCCCAGAAACCGTAAGGTGGAGGGACAAAGGAAACGGGAGCTATGGGAGGTAAGAAAAGAGAGACTGAAGGTGGGGTTGGCAAAAAGAAAAAAGAGGAAGAAGAGAGAGTGAAGCAAGGACGAGACAGAGTAGGGAAAAGAGACCCGGACCGGCAGGGGCAAAGCAGGCCGAAAGAAAAGGTGAAAAGTAAGAAAAAGGAGGGTGAGGAAGGAAGAGTACGGAGAGCTGGGAGGAGTTGGGTAGACAGCCCAGCGACGGGTAGGGGCAGCGGGGCCGAGCCGCTGGGATGGAATCCAGACGCCAGGCTGAAAGGAGATGGGCGGGGGCACGGGGGGGCCGAGGAGGGAGGGGAGAGGAGGAAAGGAAGGGGCGGGGTGTGGGGCCACCAGGAGGCGCCGGAGACCCCCAAACTTTATCAGGACCCGAGACTGTTTACCAGACAGAGAGCGTGAGGAATGGACCAGGAGCCTCGCCTCGCCGCCCAGGGTAGGGGCTACCGCCTGCCACTCCCAGCAATGCCTTCGACCACCACCCTCAGCAGGGACACGCGGCCCGCAGGCCTCGCCCGGCCGCCGCCTCCTTTCACCAACGCTCAGAAGCCCCTACCCAACGCTGCCCAGACCCTCCCCTTGATCCCAGGGGTCCGCAGCCCGGCTGAGGAGGCCCGGCGGAAGAAGCGCAACCCGAGTTCCCCACCTTCTGTCCTGGTCCAGGCGCAGCCGGGGCGGACGGCACCTCTCGCGCTCAGTCTTCACCTGCTTCATGGAGCCATGCGCCTGGGTAGGGGCTCCCGAGAGAAGCGGGCCCGCCAGCGGACCGGAGGCGCGGCGCGGACGGGGCGGGGCAAGGAAGGCCGGCAGGCCGCGGCAGGAAGAACTGGAGGTATTCCCGGGGCAGCCGGAGGACTGAGTGGTGCCGGGACAAGGCGCCCGGTATCCCAGCAGCCACCGGAGGTAGTGCGGTAATGGAGGACGGATGTTGGTTCTACGGTGAACTACTCGCCCTCTAGGCGAGCTGCGAAAACCATAGAGATCAGGGCGCTGACAGAGCGCCTCTCCTCTGCTGTCACGTGCCCCCAGTCGGCGCACTTTATTGGCTGGAGTTGAAGTTAGCTGGCTGTTTTGCTGTGGTGGGGCCCAATTCGGGGCAGCTGGAATAAAGAGGGGCCCGGGGCGAGGAGCTAAAGGAGCCTGGCGCCTCAAATAAGTGAGCCAGACGAGCTCAGGGCCCGCTGTCGCGCCAGCAGACGCAGTGTACGTCGCACGTCTCGGCTGCGTGAGCGAGCGAGTGGTGGGCTGGCTGGGACTTGAACAGCAGGGTCAGCGGGCGCTGGCTCCGCCTGGGTTCCTGACTTCGCTGCTCCACCCTGTCGGACGTTAGAGTCCGACCCTTTGCAGTCCACGGCTTTTCTCCCCAAGCACCGAGGCTCACGTTGCCTCACCCAGGCTGGCCGTGGCCTTCCAAAGCAGCCAGGAAGGGGCAGATCTAATCAGGTTTAAATCAAGCCGAACTGGCCGGCCAGGCCCTCCAGGAGGGTTCCAGACCCGGTGCCAGCTTCCTCATGGCCTGGGAAGGGCAAACTGCACCCATTTTCAGGGGCTGTCAGGAGTCCCTCTCTCTCTCTCTCTGGACCCACCCAGAACTCCTATGCTGGAGATGACTTCAGTGGAATTACCCACAGTACAGGATTATTCAGTAAAGCGACTAAGCACATTCCTCAGCGCTAGCAGGCAAGGACCTCCAAAAGAACAATAAAAAACATTTAAAAAAAATTAATTATTTTAATTTCTCGTACTTGGTATTTGATTTGAATTGATTACTTAGCATTTCTATGTTTAATCACAGGTGGGGTTGCACTAACAGTCTTGCTTGTTTTAAAGCAACGCCAGTCTTGTTAACACATTTAAACCCACAGACTTTTGTTTTGCTGTTCTGTTTATGCACAAAGGAATCCTTAACATGTTTGTTCTCAGTGACCAAAGAAAAGTAGTATAAAAATGCAAAATGTACTCAAGTATAATATCTATTACTACAAACTTTTACATAGTTGCGTAGGCAGCAGAAACTGAGGTAACAATGTCTGACTGGTGCCTCTTGGACCAGGGACTCTCAAAGAGAACCTGGCAAAGGACCAGAGAGAAAGGAAGAGACTGTAGTGCTTTGTACAACAGGTGACTTTAAAAAAAAAAAAAGATTTCTATAGCAGTCTTCATAAGTCCTCTCAGTATTTACACACTTTATCTTCTGTTGAGGTCACGTTTGCCAGTTTCTAACCGGGCTGCGTAAAAATCTACACATTAGATGTTCATATGGCCTAGAGCCAGGAATGTAGGAGACAATAGCCAGAGGTCAATTTTTTGGTTTGTTTCTGAATGAGACTGAATCCTGACATAATAATCAGAATAAATTTCAAGTAGTGAAGGTATTTCCAGCTCAAAGTCTTAAAACGTGGCATATGAAAAAGGGCCTTAACTATTGCTCCCAGGGTAGTACTATATTGTCATTGAACAGCCTACAGATACGAGAGCTATTGGTCCCTGATTATTAAGCTGTGGGAAGGTAAATGATAGAACTAAGTTGGACTTGAAACACTCCCAAATTAAAACGAAAGAAACCTTGTTTTGTTCTGTTAAAAAGGCATTTTATCGAGAAGTAGGACCTAGATGATGCTACTGTTGTTTAATACGAAAAGGCAAAAGTGAGGATTTTTAAAAAGTCACTGTGGGGTCACCTCATGTCAGCAAGCAGATGATGGAAAGGTAAACAAATTATGAACTGGAGAAAGAAAGTAAGGACAGTATACGTCATAAATATGGAAGAGACTTTTATGTTCTCATCTCCTACACATAATTAAGAAATCTGGTTATACATAGTAGGGATATAATAATTGTAGCCTAAATGAATAAGTGAAGCAGCAAGCCAGCAAGCAGTAGGAAAATAATATAGGTGGGAAAGGTGAACTGCAGAAAAGCTAGTTGGCTCAAGCCCTCTGCATGGTCCTGAAATGTCATCCCAATCTGCTATGATATAACTAACTGTACAACTGTTCACCAAAAATACGCCAAAACAGCCCTGGCTGGTGTGGCTGAGAGGATGGAGTGCTGGCCTGTGAACCAAAGAGTTGCCAGTTCGATTCCCAGTCAGGGCACATTCCTGGGTTGCGGGCCAGGTCCCCAGCACGGGGCACGTGAGAGGCAACCACACATTGATATTTGTTGTCCTCTCTTTCTCCTTCCCTTCCCCTCACTTTCTAAATCTTAAAAATCTTAAAGATCTTTAAAAAAATACTTCAAAACAAATCATCTGCTTCCCTAATGCACATCTTTCCATCATTTCTTATATGGTTAAGAATATATGGTAAGTGACTAGATCTTACTGTTCTCGCCACAAAAAGAAATGGTAATTACAGGACCTGATAGAGGTGTTAGCTAACTCTATGGTAATTAATAATATTGCAATATATAAATGTTTCAAGTCAGCATGGTATAACTTAAAATTATACAATGTTATGTCAAGTATATCTCAATTTTAAAAAAAGAATATATGGTAATTGTTGAGAAAGTGCACTCTGGCCCTGGACGGTGTTGCTCAGGGAACTGAGTGCCGGCCTGCAAACCAAAAGATTGCTGGTTTGATTCCCAGTCGGGGCACATGCCTGGGTTGCAGGCCAGGTACCCAGCTGGGGGCATGCAAGAGGCAACTGATTGATGTATCTCTTGCACATCGGAGTATCCCTCCCTCTCTCTCTCCCTCCCTTCCTCTCTCTTAAAATGAATAAATAAAATCTTAAAAAAAATAAAAATAACAGAAAGTGTACTCTGGAATCACCCTGCATGGTTTCAGATTCCAGCCCTGACACTGACTACTTGTGAACTTAGGGCACATTAATATGTCATCTGTAAAATGGGTTTTGTAGCAGTATCTAATTCAGGGTTGTTAGGAGATTTAAATAAGTTTATACACATAAAGCTATTACAGAATAAGCATGTCAAAAATGCTAATAGCTGTGAGCTTATTGGTAGATTCTAGGATGTTGGGATAAGCAGGAAATTAGCCTGTATACCAGAAACACACATTCTTTTTGATTTGCACCTTGGAGGGGCAATGCATTGAAGTACAAAGGGCATTTGCCAATCCATAGTAATGAAATAGTTTTCACTGGAGATATTGATGGGTGATAGAGATTTCACCTGTCTCACTTTCCAGGTTGACATGAGTCTGGTCTTGGTAGGAGATAGAATTTGAATCTGTGTTCCAGTTTTCACAAAAGGCAGGCACAGAGAGATTGTAATCTCCTCCAGAGAGAGTGCTTGTCTCCTGTATATCCTCTATAAGATAAGTGCAGTTGGGCACTTAAAAGGAATGATGAATCCTCATTTGATTAAAACAAACCTTTATCTGTATATATAAATGAGTATATGGGTTGAGTATTTTGGAAATATAAAGTAGTTTAATTAAACTGATAAGACCCACAGTATTTTGTTTGTGGTAAAGTTAGACTATATTACTCTAATAAGATGTGCTTTTAAACTATGTCTGTCACTTGGGTACATAATTCAACACTGTTCCATGAAACGGCCATATGTGCAAAGTGGTGCCCAAATGCCAAAGGGGCTGAGAGACCAAAGAAAGAGGCAAACAAGTTTAGTTTATTGGTTAATATGTTTGATAGGGAACTTATGTACAGAAACGGGGTCTCTGGACACAGCAGGATGTTTGGATCTCTGCATCTTTCATCCCCTAGACCACTTGCTTTTCTCCCCTGACCCCTTAGAGATGGACCTGTGTGCCAGGAAAGGAATGTGTGGGAGCAAAGGGACCAGATACAGGGAGGTTCTGGCACCAGAGTGAGCTAAGAGATAAATAACATAAAGGGTGCCTCACCTCAGAGGAGGGATAAATGGAAATTCCATAATTAGCCAGAAGCCTCTACACATTCCAGAGACCCCCTGGGGAAAAGGAGGGCATCAAAATCCAGGTTTATTCACTCAGAAGTTAAGATGGCAGTTGAGCTTCAAGATGGAGTCATCTCTTCCCATACAAACTTAAAAAAGTTTCTGAACTTACACCACTATTACCAGTGAAATAAATGAAACCAAATTGGAAAGCTGAAGTCACACATCCATTTGTTCTATAAATACTCCCAGATGTAGAAATTTCCAGCAGCCCTGAAGGCTCCATTTGTATCTCCACCCAGGTACGAATCCCCTTTCAAAAGATAACCATCATTCTGACCTCTATCACCATAGGTTGGCTTTGCTTATTCTTGAATGAAATAGAAACGGACTCATACAGTATGTATTCTTTTGTGTCTCTTTATTGTGTTTAACATTATGTTCCAGAAATTTATCTCTTTGGTTATATGCAGCTATAGTTCATTCTTTTTCTTTACTGCACAGACTGCTATGCCATTCAATACACAATGAATGAATACTAAATACATATTAAATGATTTTGTCACAATTTGTTTAATCAACATTATTTTTAAAACAATCTTGTTTCCTTCTCTGAGCCTAGAGGTTTAAGAATTCTTTTAGAAGGAGCTCATATTATTTTGCACACTCAATGTAGTTCATCCTAAAATTGCAGTGGTTAAAATGACAATTGTATCAGTCAGGAAAAAAGGTATATCAGAGAGAAAAATACATCTTCATTTGTCTAGTCTTAGGGTTATGTCATCTATCCTTCTCTCTGCTATGACCTTGCTTGCAGGGAACTCAATCTTCCTCAAATGCTGTAGATCATCACACTGATCCATCTCATTGGTGACATCTTGCCGAATGGACCTAATGAGCAGGAACTGGCAAGTACCTTAGATACTTTAGAAAGTCCCATGTGTTTGTGGGCACCAAGAAAAAAAGATTCATTTGATGTGAACCCTGAGAAGAAATTTATCTGCTGAGACATACTCTTCATGGTCAATCAAGGGCCCATATATTATGAATAATAAGAGCCTAACAGTCTCTTTGCTGACAGGGGCTTCTCATTACTCTATATATCAGGAAAAACTTC